TATATAATTAAAACGAAGGATAATCTTTTTTTTTAATCGCTTTTTAATTTTCATCTGATGATACAGGTATCTTTCCATTTCCATACATATATGTAGCGCTTACGAGGAGAAAATAAACCACGTTTTATTTTCGCGCGTAGCTATACATATGTATATATGCAAGTACCTACACGGCAGAGATCCATACAGATGCGCATCGCACGCTTGTACGTGTTTATGTGATCACTCCGCTTACGTGCGAGCTGTTTCTTTGTTCCCATTTCATGCCAACAGAAAAAGTACGATAAGAACACGTGCCCACAGAGAGTCGCCAAGGCCAAAAAAAGAAGAAAAAAATGCAAAGGAGTACAAAACAAATGCATACAGCAAAGGAAGAAGAAGAAAAAAAAATTATATGTATTCATATATGAAGCATACATATAACATACGTATTCGCATGACTACACTTGCATGCTTGCGTTTGTTTTGCCTCATTTACATCGCCACGTTCGTAGCGGCACACTCGTATGGCTACATTTGTACGATTGCACGTTTATGTGTACACTTCTGTGACTTCATCCACGTGGCGATATTTTCATGCGTGCTTTTTCGTACCTCCACTTGCCTACGTTTCCGGGAGCATCACTTCAATGCAGCTTTCCCCGTTTAACTGGAGCGGAGTCAACGGCGAGATTGTGAAACGAGCCAAACGCTCGCGTACGTACATGCGTGCTCGTACCACAACACAGAGCAGCAGTCGCCTGCATCCCTGCCGTGCCGCAACTGCCTTGTGCTTCATGCAACACGTCCTCCTTTAAGCCAATGGCATACGACGCATACATATTTTGCAAAACATCGCCACCGTCACGCGTTCATACCTATATACCAGTTTGACGTGGGAAAAAAAAACGTACATGTGAGCATAGTTACACCACATTTTTTTTTTTATCACACGCCATCGCGCATACACCCGCGTAACACACAAACAGTGTTATGAAACAAGCAATTATGCAGAGGCAAATAAGACGATAAGAAAAAAAAAAAGAGGCAGATAATTGCGCCCATTTTTTGCAGCTTTCAAATCAGAAATTGCAAATTTGTGTACAATTTTGCATGTGCCAATTGGATGCGCACCGTGTGTATTTTTCGTCTCGTTTTATTTTCCATCACGTCGCTTCTCTATCCCCCCTTTTTGTGCAATTATATAGTTGCGAGCGTTTAAGAAAACCAACCAGGTGAGCAACTTGACAAGTTTACGACCCTGACAGTTTTACTCCATGCGACATTTACATAGGTACGACGAAAGCTCGCCTCCCGCTTCAAATATTGGAACACTTTGCCTGAACAAAAATATAAACAAAAGCGCTTCTCAAAAAAATGGATGATATAGCAAGAAAGACTCGTCAATCTTTACGATAAATCAGCTCAGGAGATATTTTCGATTTTGAATTTTGAAGCGCCATTCGTGCCTTATTCTGTTCGTGAAACTTTGTTTGCGACCATTTTGCTCGTGCCGATCTGTGCGTGACCAATTGTCACTCGGGATCATCCACCTGTCGGCGCCCACTTTCCGAGCCACTCCTGAAGAGTCAAAGTTTGCTGCACGCACGAAGCAGCTTCGCCGGAACCAAAGGGAAAAAAAGAAAAGGAAAAATAAAGGAGACAACAAAATTAACGCCAATTTTAAAAAAAAATTAAAAGCATAATTAGCGCTGACCGAATTAACGTCAAAGAGAAACCCATAACTTTAGAGCCCCAATTAAAAAAATTTCCAAAGGGCCCAGACGTACACACCACATACACATCACCAAACGTGTATGTAAAGGATATACTCTCAGGCGTAAATCCAACGCGAGGGAAACTTACGCGCCCGAAGCATTTGCACATTATCATAGCACATACCGCGATTCTTTGGTATTTCTACCATTCAGCGAAGAAAGCACATCGCCACTGCACTTGTATACCCCTTGGAAACTCATTTTTGATAAGCGTACATTTTAAAATATATTTATGTGTATATGTGGACAGTTGTCAAAATACATACCAACAGGAACAGAAGAAAAATTATTTACGCGCATTTTAGACCAATTCAGTGACCATTTTTAAAGACAAAAAAAGACGAAAAAGAAAAAAGGCTTATTTAATTTTAATTAAAATATTAACACGTAAAGCAACACCCATATAGAAGCAAAAGAAAAAAAAAAGGAAAATTTTTTTTTTTTTTTTTTATATGCATTGGGTACATTGACGACATTCATGTGTGTGGAAAATTTCCACAAACGGGCACTTCTCACCAACTCACGCTCATAGCTTGTCAATTCGTTTTTGCCAAGTTTATAAATAGAAACACATACAAAGCTCTTCACAGAATAAAATTTTAGTTATCAAGTGTTTATCTCTTTAAAGGTCTCCAAAGGGAATTTTCACCGCCCACCCCTCGGAAGGGAAAACTGCTAAGCGCAAGGCGAATACCTACAAAGGGTCAAAAAAAGCACGTACGCGAATAAGCCAACGTAGCATCGGAGAAGCAGAGTAGAGAAGTAGCGAAGTAGTCGCCAAGCTCAGAACGGCCAACAGAACTGGCACACAAACACGATTAAATGAGCACAGTTATGGAGGAAAGCAAAATGGGAATCGAGGCGAATAAAGAAAATGAATGCCAAGGAAAGGCGATCGAAGGGTCGAACGAGGGAAACACCAACGATGAAACGTGCGTCAAGAATGGTAGCAATGAGAACAGCAACGGGAACGGTCAAGGGGGGGAAAACAGTGAAAGTGGCAAAAACGGTGAAAGTGGCAAAAACGGTGAAGGTGGCGAAAACGAAAAGGGCAACGAAAACGAAAGCAAGGCCGAAAATGAGGAGAACAAAAGCAGCAACCGCTGGGCGGACATGTGCGAGGACTACGATGCTCCCTTAGGTAGGAAAAACTTGCATACAACGCGATTTTTGTAGCAGGGAAACGACCCCTCGTGTGAAGGTGTGCATATGTTGCGCCCGTGTATGTAGACACCGCCTTGGTCGGGTCTTACCCCTATTCGCAGCAATCCCGCGTGAAATTTCATAAAAATTTCACATAAAATATACGTGGAGGAGCCCATTTTATTCATACCTCTTTTTATCCCCCCCCTTTGCAGTTGACACATACAACGACGACAACGATATGAAGCACAAAAGGACGGATACCAATTTTAACGACATGAATATGAATAGTAGCATGAAGCAAAATTATTTCATGTCAAACAAAAATGGTAACTTTGCATTACAACTGTGGATAATTTCGTGTGTGTATTTTTTTTCCATGAAAGTGATTTTCTCGTTTTTCGCCACTACCTTTGCCCCCTTGTGACACCCACATGGCGCTGCCGTTTTTGGGTATACCTAATTGCCGGTTGAGGATGTGTTGGTCACCATCTGGGGGGAATCCATATCTACGAATTTGGAAAATTTCGAGAATGCTTTTCTGCCCAAGTTGTGCATATTTTTTATTTTTCCTGACCTGTGCGTATTTTTTTTTTTTTTTTTTGACCTGAATTGGCTATCTCATACCTCCGCGTTTCTCTGACGCTTTCCCCTCCCGTAGAAATGAACAACTTCTCAACAGGCTACGAAGTGTATATCCGAAACCTGCACCTGGAGATAACGAAGGAAGAAGTGTACAAGTTATTCGAGGGTTACCGCATCAGGAGGGTGAACATTTTAAATAAAAAGGGAAAAACAGCAGCAGCGTATGTAGAGTTTGACAGTGCGGAGGACATGAACCGGTCGCTGGAGTTAAATGGAAGGATGATTTACTCGGGAAATAACACTTTCGAGCAGGGAGCAATATCGGTCATAATAAATAAGGATAAAATGAAAAATTTCAACACCAATCAGAAGCAAAATAAATTTAAAAAAGTTATCGGAAGGAACAACAACAGCTTTGCCAACTTGCGACAGGGAAATAACAATATGAGTAACTTAATGAGCAATTACAACGCGGGAGGGAATAGCAACCTAGGTAGTGGCAACCTCAGTAGCGGCAATAGCCCCTTCGGAATGAATAATAATATGTACTACAATGACAGCAACAAGAGTCTGAACATGGACATGAAGGGGAACCCGATGAATACGACACCTTTTAATAACTACACACACATGAAGTTAAATTATATGAGCAATAGTAATAGCGCTGCTGGAAGTGGCATGCACATGAACCAAGGAAGCAACAATAATAATGCCAACATGCTAAATGACAAAATGAATACTAGTGGTCCGTTTGCCTTTAAAAGTATGAACTACCCCAACAGCGGCAACAACAATCAGGGGGGAAAAAATATGAACATGAACAGTGAAGGCAATGCCAATACGTCCACCGTACCAGAACAGAGGAAAAAGCTCGTCCTGAAGAAACGCTCCGTACCCCTGGATCAGAAGACGTATGTTATCAACCCAAATATCTTTGGAGAGGCCAAACCGGTTGATACCAATCCGGACAAAATTCTAGGCGATAACATTACCAAGGAGAAAGAATCAAATGCTACTACGAATAATGTTGGGGAAGAGAGGGATAAGAAACTGGAAGGACAGGACGATGACGACGCGCAGCAGAAGAGAGCCATCGGAATGAACAATGAAAATGATGGGAACAGTATGAACGATCCGAACAGTAGCAGCGCCGGAAATAAGAACGTCTTTAACTACAAAAAGAATATGAACGGAGGCAGAAATTTTAACTTTAATAGCAACTTACAGAGCAGCAACAATAACAATAACAATAGCGGTAGCAATAACATTAACAGTAGCAATAACAATAGCGGTGGCACTTCGGGGGGCAAGCTCTCCAACACGAAGAAGATTTTCATGATGAATAAGAATAACCCCTGTAACAACCCCAACAGTGGCATGAAGAAAAATTTAAACAGCTTTGATAATAACCAGAGCGGGGGAAAGGCCATAGGAAATAGCGACCTGAACAGGCCGCACAGCCCCAATGCGAACAACCTCGGCCAGGATTCCAACAACTCCACAGGGAACATAAAAAGGATAAATAAGAGCAACAAAAATTACAAAAATGCCGACATGAATAATACCGTAAACTCCAGCCCATTCAGCACCAATGTGAAGAGCATCAACGCGGATGACAACAAGAAGGGATTGAACCTGAGAGGAATGCATGATCATCATAACGCCCTCGAAAATAGAATGTTCGGAGCGACAAACGCAGATGAGCATGGGGCAGGAAATAATCCCTTTGGGGGAGGTAATAATCAGTCTGGGCACGACTCGGAGGACATGTTTGCCAACATCCGAAGCGGGAACTTAAAAATGGAGAAGAAAAGCAACGACTCGCCATTTTCCAGCACGAAGAAGGAACTAAACATCATCAAGAAAGACGACAAGGCGAATATCAAAAATATCATTATGAAGAATCTGAAGCGGGAGGATGGAGGAAATACCAACCATTTCGGGAACAACAGTGGCGATGTCGGAGGAGGAGGCCACAAACACAACAGCGGAAACAGCTCCCTTTTTCGTAACAACGATTCACTGGGACTCAACTTCAGGACAAACAAACCTGGCGGATCCACTGGTGCGTCCAAAATGAACTCGGACAATGATGGAGGCAAGGACAGCATGATGAACTATAAAAAGATTAATGATTCCAATTTTAAGAAAGGTGAGGAGCCATTTGAGAATCTAAATCGAGGCCCCAACAGAAATATCAACAGGAATAACAGCTCCTATGGAAATGTCACTTCATCCCAACGAGCGAACACAGGGGCTACTTCCACTAACAGCCGAGCTAGGGGAACCACCACCGGAGGAACCGATAGCTACAACACAGCAGGGGAAGACAACTCCTACAGTTACAACATTGAAAATTTGTACGACAGCTCGTTGAAGTATGTGAAAAATGCCAATAACTCAAATAAGGCAAAAAAGATCACCGCTGTGAAAACGGTGAAGGTTATCGCGACGGAGAAGAAAAACGATGATGACGATGACTCAGAGGAGATGAAAGATAAGAGTGGAAAGGACGACCCAAACAATGACGGAGCGGGGGATGACCACAACGCAGGCACCGGTACCGGCGGCAACAACAACAACAGCGGGAGCGGTGGCCATGGAAAGGGATTTGATAAAAGCGGAATGGAAGATAAATACAATGACGATAAGAAACTAGGGAACAACAATTACGACGACTCCGGCAGAAGCAATGATAGCTACACATACGAATCGGATAGCTCCGAAAATTGCAAAGATATCACCACGACCAATTTGAAGTCTACTCTTCTACACACCAAGACGAAAAAGAGAGTTAAGAAGAAACCGGTCGAAGAAGGCGAAAAGAAGAGCGGAAATAACCCTAATGACGAGAATGCACAGAATGGCCAAGGGGGAACAACAGGAAACAGCAAGGGACAGAAAATCGATATTTTGATCAAGCCCAATTTGAAGAAGGGGGAAAATATTTGGGAAGCGAGAACCCACTTGCTGGTGGAGCAGAAGGAGAACAGCCTCAAAAATGACAAACCGTCGCACGACGGCTCCAGGAGAAGTCGCTCCCCCTCGAACAGGGTCAGTCGCAGCAGCAATCGCAGCAGCAGTCGCCGCAGGGATGGAAGCGGCAGGAGGAGGGAAGATAGCAGGAGGGATGACATGAGGAGGGACAGATACGGACGCAGATATGAAAGGCGAGACGACCGCCGAGACGACCGACGGGACGACCGTCGAGATGATCGTCGAGATGATCGTCGAGATGACCGCCGAAAAGAAGACCGGAAGGAAGACCGAGAAGTCCACCGAGACGATCATCGAAAGGAAGACCGGAAGGAAGACCAAAAAGACAGCATCAGCGGTAGCGAAGAAAAACGGGAAGATGATAAAAAGGAGGAAGAAAAGGAGGAAGACTCCAATGACAACAAAGATCAAAGCCGGAAATATGACAAGTATAGCAGTCGAGGCAACCACTATGAGAGAAAGCGAGACGGCAAGTACGGCGCGCCCGATAAAAAAGGGTACGACACTAAGAGCTACGCATCGGACGACAAGAGGAGGCACGGCGACTCGTACGATAGAAGCAGCTATAAGGATGGTTATGATAGAAGCAGCTACAAGGACAGTTACGACAGGGGAAGCTACAAGGATGGGTACGAGAAGGGAAACTACAAGGATAGGTACGAAAAGGGAAACTACAAAGATGGATACGATAGAAGCAGCTACAAGGATGGTTACGACAGAGGCAGCTACAAGGACGGCTACGACAGGGGAAGCTACAAGGATGGCTACGACAGGGGAAGCTACAAGGATGGTTACGACAGGGGAAGCTACCGAAATTCTCATGACCGCATAAGCTACAAAGATAACTACGACCGAAACAGCAACTACGTCGAATACGACAAAATCGACAACAAGTGTTATTCAAATAGCTACAACTCCATGAGACATAAAAACTACAAACCTCATCACCCTTCCCATGGCAAAATGAATAACTATAATTACCAGAACAACTATAAGTCAGGTCATTATTATAAGTATCCATCGAAGGGAGGACCAGCGACCTACTACAGCAATAGCAAGAATGTTAGCAAGGCTAGTGAGAAAGAGAAAACCGAGACCAAGCCAGATATACAGGCCATCCCAAAGAAGGCCATCGTCACCACGGTTAAATCGAATAACGTTTCGATTAAGAAGAACCGTTACGAGTGCTTGGATGATGGTGACGAGAGCGACAAGTGAGGTGCTAATATGTATCAGAAGGGCGCCATGTGTATGTATATATATATGTATATGCCCCTATATCATTCAAGAATCGTGTGGAGAATCTTACCAACAAAGTTGTTTTCCCTCCCCTCCATCTGCGCCAAGTGAACAAAAGGTCCCTTACATGTGTTATCGCATGTACGAGCGTTCTAATGGCACAGCTCACACGTGTGGTGTGCTGCATAATTCAAATTCATTTCGAACGACAAGCAAAAGAAGGGAGGAGAGATCCGCCAATTCGTCCACACACACATACACACAAGCACCCATTATATGACCTTATCTGCCTATATGCAACCCACGGGAGAGAGGATCTATTTACCCCCGTTTTTAACATAACCTATTCATGCAGTGACTGTTCCTCCCCCCAGCAGTTACTAATTTAATGACTTCTCATTATTGTATGCATGTTCATTTTTTTTAATGCCAAATGACTGACACACGTAATAATTGCTTCTCCATCTGCGTCTGAATCTGCCCCAGCATCTGCGTCTGTATTTTTATATGCACCACCTTCACCACCAACAGCAGTAGCCACCTATGCGTTTTTTTTATTCTTTAATTAACCTGTTCACTGGTTAATCTTAAAGCATGTTCTCCCTGTTACGCCGTCTGCCTGCACTAGAGTTAATTTAATTCGCTGCAGAGGAGGGGACGCACTGTATGGCGTGTATAACGTGTATGCCATGTGTGCATTTATGTACACATACGGGGGTATCCACCTCTGCGCCAGGGCCCTTTTGTGCGATGTTATGTTTGTTCGCGGTGCGCACTGGTAGAAGCGTATGTGTAGCCGCGGTGATGTAGAAAAGAAAAAAAAAAAAAAAAAATCAAATAAAATAAAATCAAATCAGATCAAATCATTTTTTTTCTTTTAAAAATGTTAGACAGCACAGAAGTGACTCTCCCAGTTGGCCACCCGTTCGGGGTCATTTTCGCAGTTGTCGAATTGATAATCTAAGGCTTACGGGTTTGCACCGTTTGCGCCGTTTATATTGTTTGTGTGTTTTACGCGGTATATATGGCTCACATTGTTCGTAGTTTTCTTTATTTATCACCGACGATTGCTTGTTGCATTACGTAGAAGTGTTTTGCCACCGACCGTAACCCACGTACAGACGTAGACACATCCAGGCACAGGTGTATAATTTACTTACGCCTATTCCCCTCCTGGATGTCACATTTTTTTAAATGCGACACGTTAATCTTCTCGCGCGTAATTATATATTATACTACTGTGCATACCTCCCTACAGTTAAAGGGACAGACGGTCAGTTCACTCCCTTTGCCTTTCTTTTTTTTAATTCATCATATACCAGCATAGTTATAATTCGAAGCGGCGATTATTCCCCTCTCGCCATTTGAGCAGCCATTTTATTATTTCCCCTTTTATACAATTCTCCCTTTTTTTTTATCCTTCTTTTTCCCATTTTTTTCCTTTTTTCAAGTTGTTCATACCTATGTAATATCTTTTCCATAAACCAAATAACCCAAAGTGAAAATAAAAATATGTAAAAGGAGAGGCAAAGGAAAGGGACAGGAAAAAGTAAAGGTAAAAGTAAAAACGAAGTAAGACAAATGTGCCAATGCGGCAAAATAGCAAAATTCAACCGCATCACCTGTAAAGGCAAAGCCCCATTACGCATTCCAACTGCATCCATGGTGGATCCATTAATTCCCTGTCGAGCGATGTCCCAACTGCCGACCTACACACGGGGGAAAAACGACATCCTCCTATTCACACGTACCCCCCAAAGCTGTCGAACAGAACTGCATGAACAAATGGTGCCACTGATTGGTGGTAGTTAAATGCCCTTTCTCTCCATATGGCAATGTCATAAAGGACAGGAACAGAAAAAATGTTTCGCATTTTTAGCAAGACCTGCCCGTGGAAATCACGCATCTGATCGGGTCATTCGTCAAGAGCCACAACAGTTGCTCTCCTCCACATTGGATAAAGAAAATAATCATTTAGCAGGGGATGAGGGTTATTTTATCTTCTGCAAGGGGAAATCACATATGACGTTTAACGGGTGGCATTACCTATGCACAGTCGTAAAAACCCATGCTGCGTAACGACCGGTATGTTGCCTCTTATGGGCCTGTCTGACCAATTGACAATTGTTCTCTTTATTTTTAATTTTCAATCATGCAAAGAATGGATATATTAAGAAACGGAATGACGTTTAATGTATCCCTGTGACGAGGCCACCAATCTGTGCCAACAGCTTTTTGCAAGTCCACTTTGTACCACGGGGCAATGCCCCAACTGCTTACCGCCGCAGCGGGGAGCGACACGCCGAAAAAAAAAAAAAAAAAAAAAAAAAAAACACTGCACAACGAAATGCTATACATACCAGTTTTAGAAAGAAGCACTAAAGGTGCTACATAGTGTTAAACTACTTTTACATAAACGCATGGGGCCTTTCCAGGATGGTTTCAATTCGCAGAATTGCAAAGGAAATTTCATTTAAATGGCGATTCGCAAAAATACCGCCTCGAACTGTTAGAACATATCGCCCACGCGATGAATGCCAAAGTACGAACCAAGAAGTGCCTCCGCGTGAATGCAGCCCTACCGAGATGACCCCCGGCGGCTCCGAAGTGGCGATTTCCGTCCACTCGGTTAGCCTAGCCTCTGCGTACATCGTCATGTGAGAAAGCGAGTCGCAACAGTTGCGGGTATATACACACGGCGACGCGGATCGTTTTGCTCTGATGCTCATTCGGGGAATCCCCCGCGACGTCACAGTGCGACGATTTGTATGCCCATTCATGCGCCAATTTGTATGTCATTTCTCAGCTTTGTTTTTCCTCTTTTTTCATTCCCTCTAACAACTTCACGCTGTGCAAGTCGCCCCTTGCAAAGTTCCCAGCGAGGTGAGCCCATCCGCACGCCGACTTAGCCAAATCAGCACTTCACGCGCTTAAACCCTGCGCGCGTCGCTATCATAGGCCCTCTGTTATTCTTTGCGAACGTCGTGGCGACCAGGAACGGACAACTCCCCACGGCATTCAAATGTGGGTGGATCGCTCAGTCATATTCTAACGTGACTTTCCTATTCCCCATGTGTGCTCACCAGCGTGTTGTGGCCTCCCCCATTCTGGTTTTATACGAGTGCTCCTTTTTGTGACAACGTTAAGGTGTGCTTTCCTTTTTGCCCCCTGGGGAAGTGAATTTGCCTTCTCTTGATTGGAGTCCTCCCCGAGAAGGAACTTCTTTTTTTTGCGTCTGTTTTGTAACTGCGATGTATGATAAACAGTCCAGTTAGAGCTTCTCTTCCGGTGTTATTTTGCCATACGATATGCACCTCGTTGAGCAATTTCGCTCGTCAACCCCCCATTCGCCGCTGCATCAGTAAGGCAACGGGGCCTCGCGCCATATTGTAAAAAAAAAAAAAAAAAAAAAAAGTACCCCCCGCATGCGTAGTTACAGCTTAACATGAAACAGCACTAAGCGAGGGGGAAGAGGGTACATATGTTTGTAGGTATGTATATACGTATATACATATATGTATATACCCATGCGAAAGGCCCCCCCTGCACGCACACACACTTGCAAATGCTCATGCGCCGGCCGCTACCTCCCCCGCTCGTGTAAATGCCCCCCACGTGTTCATACGTTCACCTGATGAGTCACTGCCGGGGGAGCATATACAACCATACGATCATCACCGTTTAGCTTTCGCGCGGATATAACGTTTTGCCACGCCAAGGGATTGAGCGTTTTTCCCCTCGGCCGCGCATCAAACGCAGAACGATCACCATGCAGAATTACAGGGACCTAGCGAACACCACCCTAGATCAGAAAAAATTTTTGGACGAATGTATCTTCATCGTCAAGGAGCAGAGCTTTTACATGAAGCAGGCACTGGTAGGGCTCCGTGGGAAAGAGGAAAGATGCCCGAACATCCCGAGTTTAGGGCAGTCTATGCACGTCGTCTCAGAATAAATTCGTATTATCTGTACAAACGCCGCTTTACCACTTCACCGCTCCCTCCCCCACGCAGGAAAATGGATCCCTCCGGGACACGCTGAAGCACGCGTCAAACATGCTATGCGAATTGAGGACGTCGCAGCTGTCGCCCAAGTACTACTACGAGCTATACATGCTGATATTCAACGAACTGCAGCATTTGGACACATTTATAAATGACAAAAAAAAACATAAAAAGAGGTTTATCGATATATACGAGAGTGTCCAACATGCGGGAAATATCATCCCCAGACTTTACCTACTAATCATTGTGGGAAGAAACTACATAAAGAACAAAGACATTAAGGCAAAGTATATCTTAAAAGACATGACGGAATTGTGTAAGGGTATTCAGCATCCACTGAGGGGGTTATTCTTACGCTACTTCCTAATTCAGATGTGCAAGGATAGAATACCCGACACAGGAAGTGAGTACGAAGAAGCAGGTGGAGGAAACATAGATGATGCCTTTGAATTTCTTCTCACCAATTTTTATGAAAGTATCAAACTGTGGAGCAGGATGAGTGACAAGGTGGTAACCAAATTGTCACCGGGACAAGAGGAACAAGTTCTGCATAATAATCGAAACAAAGTGTTAAGAGAAAAAATGGATGTAAAAATGCTAGTGGGATCGAATCTGGTTCGTATGTCCCAGTTGGAAGGAATGACAAGACAGTACTATATTGATAAGTGTCTCCCCAAATTGCTACACAATCTTTCCACCATCAACGACTCGCTGATTCAGCAGTACGTCTTTGAATCCATCGTCCAAGTCTTTAGTGACGAATGTCATATATACACTCTGGATATTCTCCTAAATGCTATTTTGAAAATAAATAGCTCACTTGATTTTAAGGGCATCCTCATTACGTTATTGAAAAGGCTCCGATCTTTTATCGAGTCTAATAAGTATGAAGTACCAGCAGAGGTGGACATTTTTTCTCTCTTTTATGAACACCTTGTTCTGTACGTCAATCGGACATTAGATTCATATGAGGGAGGGAAAGGCACGTACAGTTTGGGGTTCCAACAGGAGGGTCACAAATTTCCCGCCAGGGGGGACACAGCTGTGGACTACTACAAGGGGGAGGAACAGAAGAAGAGAGGCTCCCCGACTTGCGCCACGACGGCGGCGTCAGCCAATGTGGTCACCGTGAACATCGCCAACGCGGCAAGCAGCTCCCCTACGATGGGGACCCACCAGATCAACGCGAACGACCTCGTGCCCAACTGCAAAATTGTCAAAAGTGCGGATAGAAGTGGAGACAGAAGTGCAGATAAGTATGCAGATAAACGTGCAGATGGGAGAAGCCACCCCGGGGAAGAGAAGAGGACGATGAACGAAGCCCCCTATTATGGGGGCGCGACGCACCAGGGAAGCAGCAACAAAGCGGCCAGCTATGGAAAAGATCCCAGGGGTACCCACCGCCGGTACAGTAATGAAGAGAAAAAACAGCCAAACGGTGAAGACGATGAATCGGTGGAGAACGTAGTTAAAATGCTGCAAGTTATTTATGAGTTCATTTTTCTATGCATACGTATATACGACGATGCGATTACATTCAGCAAACTGTTTGATCTTCCATACACCATCGCATCCAATGTGAACCTCAACAATGACGTTCTCTGCGAACAGATAATTAATATCATTGTTCTTCCCTTTAACTACTTGGGGCTGAGTGCGCTGAAGGGGAAGAATATGCAAGCGCTGCTGACCAGCATAACATCTCAGAAACATAAAAAGAAGCTCAGCCTGGACGTCATTGACGCGATTATTGAGTGCAAGAATAAGGCCATCGTTTACAATGACGTGGAGGAAATTCTCAATTACATTTCCCCCATTTTTAACGAAGAGGTGACGAGGAAAGCGGACCCCGCAGATGATGCACCCCAGAGAGAGGCCCACCAGAGAGAGTCGCCTCACGCGCACCTGTTCAACCCACAAAACAGCACCATCACCTATACGACCAAAAAAATGTGCAAATTTTTTCACATCATCACGAATACGGACGATATTGACGGGCGGTATAACATCTGCATGCTGTTTTATAAGCACATAGAGAATGGCCCCTACTTGGTACATCTCCTGCCTACCATTGTGTTTACCATGCTGGAGTTAGTCACGACCATCACGAATTTTTCCTCCAACTCGGGCACAAAGAGTCAGTCGCAGCAGGATCTCCCCTTCGAGAAGAAGGAACCCCCCGATGAGCATGCCCTTGATGAGGACGCCCCCAATAAACATACCTATGATGACCATACCTATGATATGCACACCCATGATGACCTCCACCTGCTACGTAGCAGCCGCGGTGACGGCACCACCCGCATGGACGGCTTCCCAGGGAACCACGCGGACGACCCCTACTTGGAGCAAAAACTAAAGCAATACAACTTGTACGTAAAAAACATTTTAAAATTTATTCACACAAACCTCCTCAGCGTAAGTAGTCAAATTCCGATGCTAGCGCTGAAGCTTTTCCTGCACAGTGCCGTAGTGGTAAATAACTACCATCGCTTCGTCCAAGCACATGAATTCTTATCCTTTGAAAATTTAGAAGCCATCTGTTACGAATTCATAACACAGCCACTGATTATCTACGAGGAGGATATAAACATCTCCTCACAACAGTACAGCTGCATCATCTGGATCACAGGCATTCTGTGTTCCCATATTACTCTCCTCCAAAATGAAAACTACGAAAATATTGCACTCAAGTTAACTCAGCATGCAAATAAGTTGCTCAAAAAAAAGGACCAATGTCTGGCCATCTTGGCATGCTCTCATATTTATTGGGAAAACACAAAGTACAGAAATAGTGCCAAGGTGTTAGAGTGTCTCCAGAAGTGCATAAAGAACGCAGAGATCGCCGTACAGTCAAATAACGATAATGTAGTTCTCTTCCTTTTTTTGTTGCAAAAGTATGTCTACTACTACGAGGCAGAAAATATCGAAGTCACGGAGGACAGCGTGCATTACCTGCTCCATATCTGCCAGGAGGAATACTCCAGAGAGAGCTGCGACGAGAGCTTTAAGCACGAATTCTTGCAGACCGTCAAGTACATACACGACAAGAAGAAGAGTTCCAACGCCTTCGCCAAAATTGGCCTCGACGCCTCGCTTCTCCGCTAGGGGTAGCGGTGGTGTGGCAGCGGTGGAGCGGCCTTATCGAACCCTTCGTGACATACTGTGCTTACTCATAGATATCTCCTATGTGCTGATTTCTTCTCGTTCACTTTTTTTTTTTTTTGTTTTGTTGCACGGAGAATGGCCCAGCTCTGGAAAGAAATACATAACATCGTCCTGTTCTTCAACTGTGATTGTTTTATCTGCACGCCGCAACTTTACCGCTACCTTATTTGTATAAAACGGGCTCTTCCTTGTTAAGATGCTACAACGACACATGTGTGCAGGTAGTATGTAAGCCTAGGGGGGGATAGTACCCTCCCTCATCTGTCCATTATCCACCACAGGTTAGCAACCTCGTAAAAGCTTCTCACACGGAAGTGCGTCTCTTTTTCCTGGCCAAGCTCTCCACACAATTCGGTCACTTTTTGGACCTCTTCTGATGCTTGTTCCGTGTCCTTATTTCCTTTTTTATACTGTCCAGTTGGTTAACATCTACGAAGTACTTCTTCTTCCCTTCGTCGTCCAGTTCTCTGCGCACCTTTATGCCCATGCTGTTGCACGTGCCTTGAAAATATTGCAAAAGGGTGGGAGAAAAAAAGGAATGAACGAATGAATCCTCCGAGCAATGCCCATGAATGTTTTTTTATTTTTAAATTCTGGCGACACCATTCGTGGGTACATAAAAATGGGGGCATTTCACGCAACACGCATTTTGAATCTGCCCCTCTTTTTGTCTAGCCCTACCGATAATATACTTGCAGATACTTTTGAGGGTCATATTTATCAATGGGGGGTCCATCCGCTTGCACTTGGCAATGTGGAAAACCTGTTCTCAATTGTGGTGAAAAAAAAAAAAAAAAATAAAGGAGAGTCCCACTAAGGAACCATCTCTTACAACACATATGACGCCGAATAAACTCCAACATGACGAAATGGATAAGAAGCCCCACCACATAGGCGCTACTTTGGGGAGATCGACTGAACGATGCACAGCCTGCTAAGCGGAACCACCTCTCCCTAACGAAGCACAGGACAAGTGGCATACCTCCGCTAGCGTAATCGATCCGACAGTGTGGTGCTTCGCCGTGGGACTGAACATAGGAACTCTGGCGCATCGTCGGATAAACCAGACGACCGTTGGGGTTCTCAGGTAAAATCGGTACGTCCTACGGGATGGCAAGTATGCGTATGTGTATAATCGGGGGCAGCATTCGAGCAATTTACGCGCAGCATCCGTGTAGCACCCGCTGGATACATTTCGTCGAGGCGTGAACTCTCTGAACGGAGTAAGTCCGTTCTGGAGAAGCTTCTTAACGTGTGCGCCTCATGGTAGGTACTTCCAACCCGCGCGCTCCAACATCACTACGTAGCTTAACACGCGCCTTGCTGCCAAGATCTTTGCCGGCAACTAGCCATTTTCTTCAAACCTGTCATTCAGTGGTTCCAGAGTCACTTGAATCGGCACATTCTTCGAAATGTTTTTCGTCCTCTCGTTAAACTCTTTAAAAAAAGTCATCATATTTATTCCTGAAATTTTGTAAAATAGGAAATGTGACAGGCATGTTAAATGGGGGTACCTCCTTGACAGCATGATGATGCCAAAGGGACAGGACTCTCCTGTCTTCACTGCCTCCCCTCGCGTATAAACACATCCACATACACACTGTGCATGCCATACCTAGGGGCCCCAACGTTTGTCCAATGCTTGCGCTGGGTTTCGCAGAGCCAGACAAAACCACTAAATTGAATCTCCCTATTCGTGACATGGTTTACAGTCCAGTGGGTGGTTCGGAAGACCGTCATTCGAGTTGCCTGTGAAATGGCATACGTGTGAGCAAATGATATGAGAAGGGGAGTTGCCAGGAGGGGGATTGTACGTGACGAGAAAAAAACTGGGCACGCTCAATTAGAGAATCACACGAGTGGAAGCTTACACTATTGCGTACATGTGCTTTTATTCACTCGTGCGATGCAGTTCTTATGCAGGCCAACGTGTAGACTGTGAAATTAGCACTTTGGCCATGCTGTGCAGCCCCATCCCTGCATTGGGGACCCCACCTGTAGGCCACTTGGAAACATTTCTACACTACATGGTCGGAAGGTACATTTATGCTTGCCTTCGGGGTGCGGCGAAAGGGTCTCTCTCTGCTGCTCTTCACGTACATGCGTGGTTTCTCCTGTGACCGCACGAGAAAATGTCGCAGTATGCTAAACGTAGCATGCATGGGAGTACATAAAGAGTGTTTTTTTTTTCTTTTTTTTTCATTTCTCCCCTATTAAATGCATCCTCCTCATTGTGTTAATTGGATCACTCACATTTCGTGCACCACGCTTTTCAGCCTAACGGGCATGTTATCTATTGCTTGAATTGTTTCCCTTCCCATTTCGACACGCGGGAATATCTTCTCCCTTCCCTTCCCCTATTTGAGGATATGGCAAATTGGTCTACTTGTGAAACACAACTTTAAAATAACCCTCCACATGACGCATGCGGTAGAGGTGACATTTTTATTCTTCCTTCCCTGTCGTATATGACAATTTATTTATTTTATTTTTTTTTTTTCTCGTGTGTGTGAACATATGTTACAGTGGTAAAAAGATTTATTCATAATTATTATTATTATTTGTTTTTTTTTTTCTTTACTTGACTTGTTCATATTTAAAAAGGTTTTTATTCCCCGCATGGAACACGAATGCTCGATTGATTTGTCTCCCCCCCTTTTGATGTTAAATGGAAGTATTCATATTGACCTTTATCTTATATTTTCCCACTTTTACCCCATCTTTGTTGAGCATCAGGTGGTGAACAGTTAGTGCCACTTTTCTAACAAACGGGTGTCAACAGTACTGTGTTTTTTTTTTTTTTTTTTTTCGCCAACCGCTTAGGTACTTCACCTGTTCTTTTCCGTCCAGCTCACCTTATTATGCCTCTCCGCACGGTTGCCACCAAGAAAGAGCAAACCGCCACACCGCATACTTTCGAGTTACTTCACGTAAAAAGTTCCACAAAATTGCGCATATATGGATAAGCAAACAATTGTGATTGACAACGGTTCAGGTGAGGAATGTGCAGGAGATAGGTTTCCAAAAAGGGGAACCCGTGAAGTGATGCTAAAAAGGCTGCCTAATTTGCTTACCCCCCTTCGTCTTCTTAACCCCCCGCAGGTTACATGAAAGCCGGATTGAACACCTGCGATGAGCCGACCATAGTGTTCCCAACAATAGTGGGCCTCCACCGAAACAGCGAAATCAAAGAAAGCTACGTCGGCGATGAAGCCATCTTCCGCGAGTCCCAACTGTCATTCTATCGCCCAATCGACCATGGACACATATCGGATTGGGACCTGGTCCAAATAGCCTGGGAATATGCCATCAAATGTGTCGACCAAAACAGGACTGTTGAAAACATACTGCTCACAGAGCCACCCTTATGTTCAACCTCCCATAGGATAAAAATGGGAGAAATTTTTTTTGAGGATTTTGATTTCCAAAATATTAACATTTCCGTGTCGGGGTTAATGTCGATGTATGCCACGGGGTTAACAACTGGTCTGGTCTTAGACATAGGCGATGGAGTTACCCAGTGCATTCCCGTGTTTGATGGATACATAGAAAAGAATTCCATCATACGATCTGATTTTGGTGGAGAAGAACTCAGCATGTTTTTGCAAAAATTGATTTGTGACATTGGATACAGTATGACCACAAGAAAAAATTTTGAATACATTAAGACTATGAAAGAGACTTTATGTTTTTGCTCCTTAAATCCACCAAAGGATCAAGAGAGGGACGATTTAACGGTCACTTATACTCTTCCAGATGGAGATGTTTTACGGGATGGATACAGCTCCATTGAATTATCACATGAACGTTTTTACGTTCCTGAGGCTCTGTTCAATCCACTTATCTGCCACAGGGATAGCCTCAGCATCGTCGACATTGTGTGGAAGTCCCTTTTATTGTGTCCCATTGAAAATAGGAAAACGCTGACTAGCTATATCGTTCTTTCCGGGGGATCTTCTCTTTTCCCAAACTTAGTGGAACGACTGGAGAGGGAAGTGAAGAATAATGCTCCGGAGAGTGCCAGATCGGTTGTGAAGGTAGATCAGACGTTCGAATTATACTTGTCGTTCTTTTTCACCCCGTGGCGGCCTTCACCACGAAGGGACATTGTAGAGTAACATGCTTTCCTGTGTCCAAATGGTGTGTGTCTTTGTGGGAATTTCCTTATGAATTACTCCTCATTTGACGCTGCTTCCTCCCTTTTTTTTTCCGATACAGGTCCACGCGCACGAAAACAGAGCCATTATGGCCTGGTGCGGAGCGCGCATTTTCTCACAACCCGAGATAAGGGACGCCCAGGAGGGCCTATGGATATCGAAAGAGGAATACGAGGAAATCGGAAGTAACATTTTTTTGACAAAGGTAAGGCGAAAAGATGACAATTGATCAAAATGGGCCAAAAAAGAAAAAAAAAAAAAGACGAACGAGGGGGACAAACTACACACCTGGTCGTGCTAACGATTTGCACTTGAGCAGGTGTATTCTATTTTTTAATTATGATTAAGCGCTATGCCAGCTTAGAGAGGGCCCTCCCCCAGCACACGTCTTCCTTTTTTTCAATCAACCTGATTCGTTCCCGGCACAATTTCTCAACACAAATGATGGTCACGAGAGGTACATACTTGTATGTGTTCATACAAAAATGATGTATACACTTATATCTACCCCCCTCTCGATTTTTCAATGCCAGGCAACGCTGAAGCTTACATAGGACACTCACCCCTGAGACGAGACCATATCATACCATACCAGACGAGTCTCTTTTTTTGTCGTTTTTCTGTTATTATGTAATAATTGCTACTTCTTTTTGTTTAGTAGATTTTTTTTTCTTTTCGCTGCTGTTTTTGATTTTTTCTTGCTGAAAAGGGGGAAAGAAGGTGGAAAAAAATGGCGATGTTTTATTCTGTTACGTGGGAGGACAGAGTTGCATATGTCGCGGGAGGAAGCTCCCCGTTTCGCCATTTTGGTGCTTGGATCGTTTTGATCGAAGCGATGGTGTTTCTAATTTTCGCATTTCTCATTGCTCATTTCTCATTTTCTCCTTTCTCATTTGTCATTTTTTCATTTTCCCATTCCCCCTTTGATGAATAAACAACCTGCTTGCGTATGATATTTTCGATCCTGTAATTATAGACCCCCCTCTGTGCCTTGGTTGACACGAGATGATGCAGATTTTTCGCAGCGTTATGTATCTTCGTGTCCTTCACTTTGTTATCGTGTAGCTGTAGGAAGGAAGAAGATGTTTTTTTTATTTTTTCGTAAAGAGGTTGGCACACGGGCAGACCGAGTCGCATCAATGTTGGTTCCTCTCAATTAAGAAGTAGACTCCTTCCTTTGGTTCCTTACCAACTGTTTCTTTCTCTTTTCCTCAATCCCCTGAAGGATAATTCCTTTCTGTGCCTTTACCTGTAAATATGAAAAATGTGCATGCATTTGGGGAGTGCCCGCTCTTGTGGCGTTGTGCGTAGATACGCCTTTCCCTCCTCCTCTGCCTCGTTCTGTTTCTCTTTTTTTTTCTTCTTTTGGGAGCCTCTACATGTTCATCCATTTCGATTATTTCCCTCTTCCGCCTAAAGAAGTCGTGAATGTATTTCCTGGAGCAATACCCCCTGAAGCTGCCATTATCGGAGGAAAAAAAAAAGGAGAGGGGGATGGGGGAAGCAGTCACTTGTGTCTAGGCTAGCAGATCGCAGATATTTGCAACACTACAAATTTGCCGCTCCTTTTAGGCCTGTTTTTCCTCATTACACCTTCTGTATCTTGGTTGCACTGTCCGACATGTACAATACGGCTTGCTCCTCCAGCCTCTGCCTCTTCAGTTTTCTGAGCAAAAATTTGCACGCCAGAATATCTATGGCGTCCTTCGCGCGCTTCAGAAAGTACCTACCAGGGGGGGAAAAAAGAAGAAGAGGGATACCACTCCCCGCAGAGCATTAAGAACATATATATACACACACGAAGTGATACATTCTTTTCTGCTTCCCGTGCGTGGCTACTTATAAACAAGGTAAGTCCGCCTGGTCAAATAGCCCCTGTAGCACTTCTGTATCGTGATAGCGGCGAGGCGCTCTATCCCGGCGTTTTTCTCCTTATCCCTATCGTGAATGAGGAACAAGCAAATAAGTACATGTGCCAACATGTGTAAAAGTCAGCAGGAGTGACGAAAATGGAGGAGCGGCTTCGAGATGCTCTCCCCTTTTTATAACCTTATGAGGGACTTATATTCTCGAGACAGTGCACTGCCCTGTTTGGCAAGCTTCAAAAAGTCCATTTCGTGTTATTTTTTCAGCAATTTTACAGGAAGTTGAACTCAAAAAGGGGGGTTAAAACCCACAAGTGGGAGGAAACAAAGGTGTGCACACAACGGCGAACGAGCTCTATGCGTGCTGTGCAGCCGCGGGGGGAAGAGTCTACCAATGTGGACACTCACGATGAACAAAAAAAAATGATGACTCGACAGATATGTGCCATGTGATATGCCACGTGATGCAATGTGACGCTATTTTGAACAAAAAAAAAAAAAAAGAAAGTCGCGTGGGTTTTAATTTGTCAACGAGAGTACCCAGTCAGATGAACATATTTACTGTCTACCTATCTGTGCGGCTCTCTCTATATATGCCCCCATAATGCACGCAAAAGAAGAAGAAAAAAAAAAAAAAAAAAAAGGGAAAAGGATAGGAAGCAAATCTCTACAAATGAATGGACGCATCCCCTGTAACGGAGGCTACGACGCTGGGAATATATCGACAGAGGGGGGGTTCCACATTTTAATAAAATTTGTCAAACAAATGTGCATCAAAAAAAAGAGGGCGGTGGGAGGGGGGAAAAAATCAAATGAGCCAACCAATCACAGTTAATCCGTTGATCGAGCGGAAGCCCAGGTGGAGAAAATCCCTGTAAAAAAACCCTATTAGGGGAATCCTTTTAGAGGGTCTCCACCTTTCGCGGGGATTGTTTTCTTCGAGATTAACTTGAACCAATGCTGCAAGATTAGAGAAAGCCCCTCCGAGGTTTTACTTGACAGCGTAAAATCATCCCACTGACGAATATCACCTCTTCACCTCTTTTTCTTTTTCAAAATTTGCGACGCGAGCGACGATTTCATCGCCAACTCGCTGAGTCGCTTCCGGCTGTACCTAGACAGAACTGAATTTCTATAGGACGTGATCGACATGCGGGAGCTACAATTTCGCTGTATCAACAAGCTGAGGTTCTTTCTCTTTAACGCTTCCTTGCTGTATTTGATGTCTTTCATATTACTCTGCAGCTTCTCGGAAATCAGTTCACGGTGGTTAATTTGTTGCAGGTTAAATTCCTCATTAGGATTGAAATCGGCCTCGTCGTTTTCTTCTCCGGTGCGTCTTCTTACCCTGGAGCTATTGCACGGATTATCGGAGTTGTCACCGCTGCTGCCGTCCAGACTGCACTCGTCCTCACTTTCCACCAACTTAGGGCTGCTGGCAATGACCCCCCATGTTATGATGGGACTCTTATCGACACCCTTCCCAGCCAGTATAAGTGGAGTACGCATATACTCATAGCTGTTATTCCTTTCCAGTAAGTTGAATTTCCCCTGCTGTACCATCTGCTCCTCTTTGTCTTCTTTCATTTTTTCCATCATTTTTAATTGCCTATTCTGAGCACACTGTTTTATCTGCCTCTTCATGTCCTCATTATATTCCTCCGAAAATCTTGTATTGTCGGGACATATCTGTAGCTTACTCTCAGCAGAATTATCCATCAAGCTAACTTTTAAACTGGAGGAAAACATCATGCTACTTAATTCATTTTCCGACCTGTTGGTATTGATCTGATGACAATTTATTCCTTTCCTTGTGCACTCTTCGATGTAGTCTACTTTTTTATTGTGTTCCTTTCTCTTCATCAGCGAGTACATATTCCTATCCACATTCTTATTTTTCATGCTCCTTAAGAGGTACTCAAATGATTTGTTATCCTCCGAGGTGTACTTCTTCTGGAAGTCGCTCAAATTTATGTTCAGATCAATTTTGTGTTTTTTTCCATTCGCTAGAGTCACTAATTTGTAGTTTTTTTCTTGGAGGCAGAGTGCCTTGTCATTCCTCCCCTCCTCGAAGGGGTCTACATTCCTCTCGCTGCACTGATCCGTTGGGTATAACATCTCCAGATTGTTATGTTCCTCTGGGCAGGAGTAAAAGCCCCCATCCGGGTTACCACTTGGAGATATAGGACTACCCATTTTCCTACTGCCTCTTCTCCCCGCGTGATCTACTTCCACAGTGGTGCCTTGCTCAGGTGAGTATCCTTGATAGTTGGAGAACATGGTGCTTCTTCCATCTGGAGTAAAATCATGGGCATCCTTTTGAGTCTTCTCCGAAATGGCTCCATCATCCTTATATTTGTGTAAATCAGGAAAAAACTTTTTTTCAATTAAAAACTCCAGCACATTTAAGTAATCCTCTTCCAACAAGACAATGTGATTGTCCTTTCCTGTCCTGAAGTTCTTCGCGTCATATTCGACAATTTCGTTGTTTTCGAATAGAGCGATTTTTTCCTCTCCATACTTTTGGATGGCATCTTCATCACCGCTTTGTTTTTTTTTTTTTTCCTTCCTCTTCTTCTTCCCCTTTTGACTTACAATTTTGTATTCATTTTGGTCCATCGGGAGAATTTTATTTTCTTCCTCTGCGGAGTGCTCCCCTTCCAGGGGGGGCGATTTCCCTCGGGGGGACTTCTCTGAGGGGTCCATCCCACGGCCCGATCGTCTCGCACCGCATGAGAAGTCCCCGTAGGAAACACATACACGAAATGTACATATGTGTAGATATTTCCCCGCGCGAATGTTTCACCTGTGTAGGCATTCGGGGAGAGCAAGCCAAGGGATGACCTTTATCTACGTGTACATGTGCGCCTGAAGGGGACAACGCGCCGACTCCACTATCCAGGCAGATTGGCCATTCGAACTGCGCGTTGTCTCGTTTAGGCGGTTCTTGCCACGAAGGGGTGATCTTTGTAGTGCTACTCCGTTGCGCTGATCCGTTTCGCTATCCCGCCGCTAGCCAAATGACTTACGTCCGGGTGCACAAAATGGTGGAAATTACCCCTCTGGTCGATCTTCACCGACGGGAAATTCGTCAGTTGGTCAAAGTGGCTCCTCTGCCAAGGCTTCGGGCACGACACACTCGCCAGGCATAGGCAAAGGTACACATATATACATACTTTTGTATGTACGTCTGCTCACAAGGGAGCTCTTCAGAGGGCATCTTCTGCTCTGTACACCGTTAACCGTCCTTTGCCCTGTTCCCCTGCCTTCCCCTCTTAGCACATATTCCTCTGGCTCCTTCTTACCGAAAATGCGGAATTCCTGGGCGAGTCTTAAATTTTTTCCGACGTAACTGAAATCAGCCCACAAAAGAAGCAGCTCTCTTGGGCGAAGTTAAATTGGAATGGGCTACACTTCGTTGATGTTTTTTATTTTTTTTTTTCCTCGCCCTTCCACTGCTCATTTGTTCAATTAGCCAATCGTCTGATAGCAGCCTTGGCGCGTAAAAAAAATCAAACAGTGGGGGGTGGTCGAAAAATGAAAAAATCGACGAAAGAAGCCCCCAAACGAAGCATTCGCATTAGATCAAGGGAAAAGGAAAATAATTTCCCCGCGAGGTTCACTAAATGATTGCGAGACGACGCCACGTAAAGTAATGTACACTACGGGTGTACAAAGGGAGTTATTATTTATTATTTTTTTCTTTACAGCATGGTAGAGCCATCTATTTGTGGAGTTGCGCCAGGATGTAATACCCGGGCACACGTGCGAATGTATGTATTGAGAAAAAACTGATTGGCGATTTTTTTTTCCTTTCTGCTCTTTTGCCCCCCCCTTCTGCGAACGTTCCACGAGCGAATTCGTTGCTCAGAAATGGCCAACGGGTCATAATTTCCTCTCCGGGGAAGTAATAAAAGGAACGACAGGCTCCCCAACAGTGGACACTCACTCATCCCATGCCTACGCACGTAGTATCCATATATAGCTTCCACGCGTGCGCGACCAATTCATGAAGAGGCAAATCAGCGGGACGACGCAACTCTGAAGGAGAAATCAAGCAAGCATTTCTATAGCGCTTCCGACAAAATGAGGCACGCCGAAGGGGGCGCCAAATTGGACATCACTCACATGAAGAAGCAATTCCTTGGTGTTGTTCCCAAAACAGTTGGGAGGCTCATTGGCGAACGCAGAATCAGCCCATTGCAAAGTCAGCAACGCGGGCATCTCCAGTGACGTAAACGTGTTCATATGCCTTGCACACGTGAAGCACTCTGATCCGTGTGACGCAGCACTCTTCACATCCCCCACACACCATGAAATGCAGCGGAAAAGTGGGGTACTTCTTAAACCTGAAAAGGGAGTACGGAGACGAGAGAGCGGCTACCCTCTTAAGAGCCCTGGAGGAGGAGAAAACTGTCCAAGGAGCATTCATAACTCATTTTGTAAAAGTAGATTATCTCAACTTGACTAAAATCCTGCTATTCATGGTTAGGGCAAATAAGGTGGAAACAAGTTTCGATGGCTTGTATGTAGATAAGTCGTATGCACATTTGATGACCCAACGTGGGGTAGCGGTCACCCCCCAGGGGAAAGGTCCAGACGGTGATATCCCCTCCGCGGGCGCAAAAAAGGAAGAAGAGGGATTCTCCACGAAGGCCAATCCCGCTGAGGTCAATCCATCAGAGTCTAATCCCAGCGAAACGCAAAAGGAAAGATATCAATGGAGAGAGCGACCAACCTTTGAAGAGAAGCCAAGTGGAAAAACCACCCCAATTAACCCCCACCCAGCGGAAAATTACGAAAAAATAATCATTCCCAATTCGGAGATACTAAACGCAGATGATATAATGAAGCACGATGGAGAAGTGGAAAATGTGGAGAAAGCCATCTACTATTTAAACCCCTGTTCTGTCCTGTCAGCATATTTTCTGGATGTACAGAAGAACGAAAATGTGCTGGACATGTGTGCATCTCCAGGGGGGAAGTCCATAGTCATCGCAAATCACCTCTTCGGGTATGACTCCTCTCCAGTGAAGAGAATTAGAAACATGGAATGTCTAAAGGATGGAAGTGTACAAATTAAATGCTCCCTCGATAGGGTGAATTATTACACCACCAGGAGGCAAGGCTTCTTTGTCGCGAACGAATTTAATCGAGTAAGGTACAACAGATTGAAACAGGTACTAAGTAAACATCTGCCAAAAGATCTGCTGACGTCGAATCATGTGCATATCACAAATTACAATGGACTAAATTTGAATTCCTTTTTAAGGTTCCCAAAGTTCCACAAAATACTGCTAGACGTTCCTTGCTCCACTGACGAGCATTTAATAAAAAAAAAAAGAAAAGATTTGCTTAACAAGTGGACAGAGAGGGTGATAAAAAATAACGCAAGTGTACAATTCGAGTTGCTAAGTAACTCCTTTCAGCTTTTGCACACAAATGGAACTCTCGTTTATTCGACTTGTGCTCTTTCTCACCACGAGAATGATCATGTGATTGAGGAGTTTTTAAGGAAATATAAAAAGCAAGTTCAAATTGTCGATTTTGTGAAGGAAGAATATGAGAGAAGGTTCCGTGGGGATCATTGCGGTCGTTTTTTTTCCGCATCTTTTGGAGGACAACCTGTTGGGGAGGAGGACCCTACCCACCACGTGACACTAAGCGGGGGAAAACATAACTGTGAGCAACGTGGAAATGATCCTGTAGAGGGGCGTAGCCACGATGGGGCTGTACCCACTGGGGGCGATAGGGTTCCACGTGACAAGCCGAGCACCCACTTCCTATCCTTCTTCGAGAAAACCAAATATGGCTACATTTCCCTGCCAGATAGGTCACCCTTTGGAATTTTATACATTTGTAAGATTCGGAAAATTTGAGCTTTTTTTTTCTTCTTTCTTTTGCGCATCGAGCCACGTGCCCACTTCGCTGTTACGAATTTCTGAAATGTGCGCGAATTGTGCGCCAATTGTTTGCATATTTGTTACGAATTGTTTGCATATTTGCTGCTAATTGTTTGCGAGTTCTTTTTGACCATCTTCGGGGGGCTCGCCGTGTGCGCACGCAAAAAAACGAGGGAGCGGGAGCAGGGCGCGTAGAAAAAAAGGCACGCGGAATGCAGCGTAAATGTGTGTGGGGAGTGTGCTGGTGGATTATGCCGATGAAGTGCAGGATAATCGCAACGTCTCCACGCCCCTCCACCAGCCTCCACACCACCGCTACTTCCTCGCCAAGTTGTACTTAATAATCGCCGTGTTGGCGTTCACGATGAAGGCGATGAGGGAGACGCTCTTGTCGAAGGAGCTCTCGGAGAGGAAGGAAAAGTGCGAGCAGAGCTTCAAGAAGTAGTACTTAAGTTTGTAATCATAATTATGCCGTAACAAATATTTAATGATCGTTTCGAAAATAAAGTTAACCGGAATTTGGCACGTTATTAAGCTCTGAATCTTCGTCACGCATTCTTTCATCTTTATTTGGGACGGATTCACAAAAGCAAAATCGCACAGTTCGTTTATATACGTAGAAGCAACAGAGAGGGAGTGATGAGGCTTGGCCGAATTTGAATACACGGTCATTTCTAGTGCCATAATACATTTCCTCAAATTCCGTCCATGCTTATTAATCAAGGTTTTAAAAAAATCGACTGAACTGAAGGATGCAGGCACATGCTCACTTTCGCTAATATCTTTTAGGACCGACACAATTTCTTCTTCCGTGGGAAGAGGTACTCGGATACAAATGCATCTACTCTTTAACGGCTCGATAATTTTAGACAGATGTTCCAAATGTAAAATAACTCTAGCATTTCTTATGTACGTTTCCAATGTCCTTCTTAACCCTGCTTGAGCTCCTTCACTTAAAAACTCAGCATCTTTAAAAACAAATATTCTGTACATCGGCGATTTGGAAAAAAAAGACGCACTTGATTTGTAGCTACATAGCTCTTTAATAACATTCTGCACAATTATTTTGTCTTTGATTCCTAATTCGAAGCATTGTAACTCTAAGTGGTAATTGCTTTGGACGACGTTTATGCTGATTTTATTTTCTGCATTGGTTATGCACTCTGGTCTCCTGATTATTTTCTCTTCCTTAAATATTTCCTTTATTAGGCAATCTATTCTGGTACTTTTTCCTCCTCCGGGGGCGCCGTAAAAAATGATGTGAGGTAGGTCCTTGTGCGCGCTAAGCTTCTTCAGCCTCTCCGTGATGTCCTTGTGAATTTTCAGCTCGTCCAGGCTTTGCGGGGCGTACTTTTCGAGCCACATTTTGCGGGTGTGCCTGCAGCGCTAGAGTAAGGCCGCTTCCCCAGGAGGGGTTTCCAAATCGGGGGGGCGTGGCTTTCCTATCAGTTTAGCTTCGCAGCTGGGGGGACTACCTAATCATAGTGCAGCCCCTGCAGCGAAATATCCCCTTTACGCGTTGCCGCCAAACTGACACAAATGGGAACATCTACTGGGTGGGCTCACTTGGGGTGTACGCGTCCGCGTCGGCAGCGTCATCCACAAACAGGCGCACTTGCCGTGTCAGCCGAAAGGATCACAAGAATGGCAAGAGTGGAAACGCCCGCAACAACGGAAACAATGGGAACAGTCGCAACAATCGCAGCAGCTGCAACAGCCCCAACTACCGCGGTAGCCACTCATATATATATCTCGCAAGGGGCGCGCGAGGCCATCTGCTCATCCCCCTTATTGTAATCCCCTATGGCCTTCGCGCCACTCGCGCCATTTCGCAACACACTGGCGTCGAGACGAAGCTATCGGACTCTGTCGTGGGCTCCACTTCTCGTCACCTACAATTCGGCTTCGTACTACCTACGTTCAAAGTAAGAGAGAGGTGCGAACAGAATGGAAAATTTCGAAAAAGGAACATACATGGATGTTGCTGTTTTTTCGCCAAGTAGATCTGTGTGTGTGCTACTTTTTTGGGGGACCTATATCGGTTAAGATGCCCCAATTGGAGGTTTCCTTCCGTTATAATTTTGTTTCCCTCATTATTCTTATTATTCTCTCCACACTTTCTCAAATTTTAAAACATCGATAAGGATGCGACATGTAAGATTTGCAAAATGGCCATCCTTAAAATCCCTCGCGCTTCCCTACACGGAAAGTTTCCTCCTTCATATGTAACAATCTCCCGCGAGGACAAAGGCTGATTCCTATTTTGCGCTTCTGCTTGGCTGTTAAATGCGCATAAAATTGTTTGAAACAAGCAAAAAGGAAAAAAAAAAAAAAATAGCCTACTTAGTGGAGTATAACGAATGGAATGTGCTGAGAGGGGAGAAATAATTGAAATTTATTTTGCCTTGGCTTTAGTTTCCCTATTTGCCTTATTCTCTTTCTCGTTCTCTCTTTTTCTTTTTCTTTTCTCTTCTTTTTTTCTCGAACGTTCACCTCAGCGTCACTACAGCTTCTCCCATCGATGCGAAAAAATGAATTCGAATACGCCAGCAAAAGACGGTACTGCGACGCAAAGATCCTTAAACGCCGAGTGATATATAACCACTTTCCATATTGAGAGAGAGAGAGAGAAAAAAAAAAAAACGCACCTCACATTGGAGAACTTCTCACACATAAGATGGAATTTTCCCCGTGGATTCTCTATCCCCTAAAGCACATTTCTCCTGCAAAATTTATAAATTTTTTTAAGGCAAAATAACGCAAACTTTCTTAAACGTACAAGTAAAAGACAAAAAAAAAAAGAAAAAAAAAAAGATAAGAAAAGTATGGACGCATGAAAATTTGTAACCTCCTGTATGTCTGTACAATTCATTGTTTGAAATATTTAAGCAAAGGCAGAGGAAAGTGCATGCAAAGAGATGTGAAGAAGTAGACACTCCCGCCAATGGCTACGTGTTTATGCCCATATGTTCGTACATACGGGTTTGTTTTGTTTATATGTCCTCGGAGAAGGGGACTCTTCATAACGACAAATGTGTTCATTTGCTTAAGGGGTTACGTGGCGAGGGGAAATATATAAAGCGGATCACCAGCTAAGTATGCTCACCCAACATACATACCCAGCAGAGGGCGAACCTCCACCTAGTTGTGGCTCAAACGGGGAAACAAAACTCGATATATTCAATGCACACACATGCGTAGTTAGTACCTACTGTTGTTTGCACCGTTCTTAAATTTTGCGAGGGGCAGAGCAACGCACGGTGTTGCTAAAGGTCTATTAAAAAAAAATAAATAAAATAAAAAAAAAAAACATATAATTTCGCCCAGCTCCTCACATGCTCATGCCCACAAATGAAACGAAAAAAAGGTGCCCCCGTCTGTGTCGCCATTGCAGCAATCTCGAGCTACCCAGAAGGGCGTCATCACAAGTGAGAAGTTACCGCATCTAACGAGTCAACGGTTCAGCCTTTCTGCTAAGTTCTTATTCTTCTCGTGCTCTTCCTTTAATTCCCTTATGCGCTTCTTCACCATTTCGTCCCTGTCCATGGGCACGCACTTGAGTCGTTGGTAGCTGCGGGGGGAGGAGGAGCAGCAGGAGCAGCAGCAGAGAAAGAAAAATGGCTTAATGAAACCTTGATGATTACGCAGACGTGCCAATTTGGAACGACGCATGCAAATGGAAAGCGTGTGTCAGCACACACATACACACACCGTTTGAGAAATTCCTACCTGACGTCCTGCGACAGAACTTCCAGAAGCGCATCGTAGTTTCCACGCTCATCCGAGTCGTGTTTAACCCAATTGGATTTCTTCAAAAAATCGGCAAACACTTTCTTGGCCTCCTTAATTTTGTAACTTCTCCATTTTGAGAAAACATCTTCCAAATAGGCTGCTGGTAAGGACTTAAAAATTCTGTCTCTCTTGTCGACGAGCCTTATGATGTCTTCCACAGAGTCGTTCATATGATTAATTGGAACTTCGTGAAGCATTTTCTTGAATGTGTCTCTTTTCATATTTATGTAGCTTGTAATAAATTCTCTGTACAAGTCTAACTTTTCTGTATCCGTTAGGCGTATATTTCTGTACCTCTCGTCTGTTGTCAGGTCAGGTGGAATTTGCAGGGCCTCTTCAAAGGAGTCGCACATTTTGTCCGTAAATGTCTCATCTTTCAAAATGGCTTCATCTACAACTGGGTGCTTTATCTTCTCATGCAGGAGACTCAAGAAAACGTTTTTCTTGTCGGTAACCGCGTTGTCACGATGGTTTGATCGCTTCACATCTGAGAGGGAATCTGCATGGCGACTTTCGCCCTTCCGCTTGGCGAGCAACTTCTGACTTACACTCTGAAATATGTGCTGTTTCTTCTCAAAGGATAAAATGTCATACTTGGTACTTCGTAGTAAATTATTTTTTATTTTAATCCACGCCCCTGGGCTCTCGCCCCTAAAAGAGTCAAGCAAAGATTGTTCCAATTTTTCTTCCGTTTCCCTTTCCATGTTTTTTTTCCTTTTTTGTAAAAATTCCCTTAACAGTTTGCTCCTTGTGACATTCCAATTTTTGCTGCCATTGCCTTGGAATGCTTTTTCACCCCTCAAAATGGATATCGCGTCTGCCTCCTCAAAGGGGTACCCAATTTCACCTTCCACCTCAGACAGCAGACTTTGGAAATTCTCTACTAACATTTTGAGCTCTCTTCTTCTGTCCTGGTCAATTTCTTTTACAAGATTATTAAAATATTCCTTCCTCATCTCCTTTGGTACTTTGAGATACCTTTCATCGTAGAGGAGGTGGGGCAAGGCGTTTTCATATCTGCAGAATTGGTCCATATTTTTTTCGATGAGAAGGTTTTTATAATCTTTCAGTATTTTTTCCATGCTTCTTTCCCCTTGGCTACCTTGCCTCGTTGCTCCGTTTGTTACACCATTGGAGGTGGCAGCCCCTGAGTCTGAGTCGATTTCCATCGCGCCATTGTGACGACCCCCCGTTGGGCTCCTCTCCACCGATTCATCACCAGGGTTATCGCTCTGCTTTTTCTTCAGAAGAATGTTTACCTCCTTTGGGCACTTCCACGTCTTTTCACTCGTTTTTTTGTTGAAGTAGAATTTATACCCTTTGCTCGTTTCAATGATGAACCAGCCTTTGCTGCCCTCCACGTATTCCCAGCTGTACGGAACGCCCACGTAGTACTCCTGCACTTCTCTTGGCAGGTGGTCGTACCTGTCAGGGCGCGCCGGTTCCGAGTCGGGGGAAGCTTCTTCCATTGGGGGAACTACTTTATCCATGCTTCCTTCTGCTCCTTCGCCGTTCCGCCTTCACGTTGTCCTCCCTTTTCTTTCTATTTCGTGCAATATCTACACTCAACAGTTGCCCGCTGGATGCAGAAAATTGACAGCATTCCTGTTGCCTAGTAGCGAACAGACGGACGGATTGGCCTTCTACCCTCGGGTGGCGAAAAACAAGTTAGTCCCCATGCTAGGAATGTGCCCCTCGGCCTGGTAATCCATTTCCGGGTTGCAAAATAAAGAGCGTGTTCAGTAAGCGGTAGCAAAATGACCAAAATGATCAAAATTGTCAAAGCGTGACTTGAAGAATGTGCCAAGCGGCTCAAAGAAAAGTTAGAAGAAAAAATTTCACAAACTCGTAAGGCGGTAAAAAAAAAAAAAAAAAGAAAAAAATACATGCTATTAGGTGGCAAATATATTTTCCCTTTTCTTTTTTTTTTTTTACTTCACCATTCAAACAAACAAAATTAGGAATAAATATTTTTACTCGCGCATGGCATCATCACAGATGCAGAGCAATGAGAAGGAGAAAGAAAAAATGAGAGAAAGAGGGAGGGGGGTATCCTGTTCCGTACATTCGCGCCAAATGGGAATATATGCGCGGATGGATGTGGGAAAGCAGTACCACAAAAGATTGCCTCAAAAAAGTGGCCACAAAAAATTGCCACAAGAAACTGCCTCAAAGTAGGCACATATATGGCTACGCAAATATAGCTACATAACTATGCGTACACTTACGTATGTACACATTTGCCCACACGTCTATCCACTATGCGCCAGTCCGCTTTGCGCGAATCAGCTCCGTACGTACTTGTAGAGGAAGTAAAAAAAGAGCAGGCAGAGAACCACACCCACGAGGATGATGACCAAGTTCTGCTTGTGCGCCTTCTTGATGGCGTCCGTCAGGGAAGACGACAAGCCGACATAGTTGTAAATGTCAATAACTTTCTTGCGAACATTTTTCAAAAATTTGTTTTGCTTTCTGATTAATTCTAATGTACTCATTCCCTGGACGTGAAAGACCTTAAGGTTGTTTTCCACTTCCTTTAGAATTTCCCTCTCATTGTGTAGATAGCCGATCGCGGAGTTAGCAGCCATTTTCTTCTTCGCCTTCCTGCCGTCTGTGTGCGAACTGTTTCCCATAAAACCATCCTGTTCGTTATATGCATTACGGGCGTTCCTTTCCGTGTGGCTCAAATTCGTTTTGTAAATTCCGTCCAGTGTCTTGATGTACGAGTTGGCTTCACTGGTTAAAGTCTCAATTCTTCTCTCCCATATGACGTTTTCGTCACTCATCATTGCCTGACTGTTCATATTATTTGTGCCAACAAAAGAGTAGGTATTCCTCAACGTTTCAACATTCATAAAAAAGGAATTTGTGAGGGCGTTTATTTTGTTTAGGGTCAAATTATTCTTCGCATTTGCATTTATCTTCAAAGTGTCATTTCGTTGGTACACATCGGCGTAATTCCTCCCAGGGTTGATGTTGCCTTCCCCTTCGTTGGACACAATCAAATTGTATGAGTAAAACAAATTGTACGATTTTTCTAGCTCTTTCCTTATTTTGACTATTTTTCCATAAATATTATTCAGGGTATTGTTCGGACATGCTCTGTTTTCTTCATTCCGGGGAGGCTCTCTACTAACCTGGTTGGCGGACCCGCGCGAGTTGCTCAGCTCGTCGTCGAAAACGGCTTCGTACTTTGACTTCATCTTGTTCAATCTGGTCGTTCGTTTGGGAAATATGGATCAAACCGAGCAAAAAACCCTCTTGCAAAAAGAAAAAAAAAAGGTTATCTCCTATAATACCTGCGTGGCTGCATCACACGGGAGGGGCATATTATAAAACATCCACATCGAGCGAAACGAAAATGTATCTTCTTCTCCACCCCCCTTCCCAGTCAAGTCACATCTTCGAAATTGTCGAAGAGGCCTCACTTCCTCACGCGGATGGAACGCCCAATTGACATTTTCGTCCAGTGAAAGGTAAACCCGTTTGGCCACCAAACAGAAGATAGGGGGGAGGAGGAGGAACACACGCCGTCTGGCAAAGATGTGAAAGTGAAAAAAAAAGAAGAAGCAAAACTGGCTTTTCACTTCAGAGGCAAGTTTTCTCAGTCGAAAGGGAATTATTTACGCATTGCGGACACTCGCAAATGCGAAATGGCTAAACGTATGTAGTTTTCGTGGAGCGAAAAGGAAAAAAAATAATAAAATGTAAAAAATATATCTATAAAAATATGAAAAAATAAAATAAAACAAAATAAATAAAAAATAAATTCCTTGCTGGGGGAAAATAAAAACACTAGCCACTTTCACGGTTAAGGAGATCCCTCGTAAGGTAAACGGGAACGCGAAACTGACCTCGCGTAAACGACCCTATGCATAATTACCAGGTACAACATTATGCCGCCCTCAGTCAATTAGTCTAAATATATTGTTTTTAAGACACTATTCTCCCTTTCGGGAAAAGGCATCGAAATTGCCGTGAAAAGGTGGGTAGACCTAAACAGGCCAATTTGAAAAACGGGCAAAATTTGGATCAAATGTAACTTCCCAGTTGGACAAAAAAAAAGACGGACCAACATCGCATACGCTCTTTTTAATGAGTAGGGGCAATGTCAAAAGGGGTTTAACTCAACAGGGGTTGCCATCGGGGGAGGGGGAGTGGACACCTTTCCAATTGGGGGGAGAACACAAACGCATTTATATATAGTAACTGGGAAAGTCCCCCCCTCATTCCCCTGTGGGCAAATGCAAATGGGGTGGAAAATACATCACACGTTATGTGTCCCCTCCCATTTGGCAGTAAGATGCATCCCCAGGTGGGTCACCAAATCTGTCCGTTACTTTCAATATTCAAATCGATGTTAAGAAAAATTTGACGAAACGTATCATAATTGATGTATAAATTATCGACATTTATGGAATGAAATTTATATTTTTCCTTCCGCTTATCAATATGATCACAAAAATAAATTTCATTTTTTATATTTTTCTCAAAATAATTCTTATTGGTGAAGTAAAGGAACATGTAAAAAATGTCATCCACACTAACTTGGATTTTGAAATGATGAAGTGCCTTTCGTACTTTCTGTATGTTAATAAGATTGTTCATATTTTTATTATAGTAAATAATTTCTTCCGTATGATCTGTTTTTCGTAGGGTTTGTTTTTTTTCCATTTTCTGTTTCATGTCCACTTTGGCAAATTCTTCTTCACTCACTATGTCATCAATATGGATTATGTAATTCCAAATGTAACTAATTTTTTCTTCTATGATTTCGTTGATTTCCGCGTCGTTATTTTTTTCGTAAATCGTCTTCACCTTTCCGCCCCTCCTCCGCAGTGACCTCTCCAAGTCTTGTACCTTGGAGGTGGTTTTGTGCCGCTTCATTGGGTTCGTTCGGTTTGGCGGAACCACAGAACAGGGCCAATCAGTGAACAACAGCGCAACGTGGTGTGTCGACACCTCTCCCTTAGTGATGTGAGCTATGTTAGGCACCCCTCCGACGCAAATGTCACATAAGGTCAGGCAGTCTCCATTTGGCGTCTTCACCAACTTGGGATTTGTTGTTCGCAAAAAAAAAAAAAAAAAGGTGTCCAGTGGGTGGCCTCCTTTATATGCTATTTAAATTAGATTAGGTCTTCCCCTTGAGGAATGTTCACGGAAAAGTCAAAGCTACGCTAAGTGGCCCAAATGGGGGGACAATCTTCCCTCCCCGCCCTTCACCATCCCAATTTATCGCCTTATGACAAAATCGGTACTGGAAAACCCCTCAAGCGTCTTCTCATTGGTTATTAAACATTCGTCGATTCTGGACGATGGGCTACCGATATTTTTGAGGAAATTCTTAAATTGCTCCAGCGATTCTTTGCTATCACTTTCTGCTTTTCCTACCACTGTGTTCCTGTCTGTGTTCCTGACATGGCCCTTTATGTTTAGCTTGTCTGCTTCCAGCTTTGTGTACTTCCGGAAAAAAACTCCTGAAGAGGGTGGAAGCGGAAGTGAAGATGGCACTTTCTCTGTGTTGATCTGTAAGCGGCACACACTGTTATGTGGACCCCTCGACACCCAAATGGGCAAATACAGGATACGAATTCTTTCGTCTCCCTTAAAATTCAACTTAAACAAAGAGACCCTCATCACAGTGCAGCAGACGATGGGAAGGTGAGGGAAGAACAAATAATGAATGAGGAGAAGCACAAGATAATAGAGTGCACATCGCTGTGTTAAAAACCGCGTGGGTTATCAACCCCTCTGGTCAGGCAGAAATCCTTGCATTCGCAGGTCTCATTTTTCTTTTTTTTTTTTTCTTTTTCACCCGATAACCCCTCCTGCCTACCTTGGACTTTTCCAAAAACTTCAAAATCGAAGGTGTGTATCATTTTACTGGAGTTACAGAATTTTCTCGAAAGGTGACTCTCGCGGGATGAACTCTTCGTCGGCGGGAATAAAAAGAGGGAGTGGACGACGGTCATCAACCGCATGATTTGCCAATTCGCTTGGCTCAACGGCACGCATGGGAGAAATGTAAAGGGGCATAAAAATAGTGCCACGCGGGGGGTGCTACAAAAGGAGTTTCCTTTCTATGTCACATAAACTTATCACTTAAGCGATTTGTACTCCCTTAACCCGCTTCTTACTTTTTTAACCTTGCCATAAATTAACACGCGTAGAGGGCGAACTCACCACTGCGCACTTTCTACCATACGTCGAAGTGGAAGAAAAAAAAAAACCGTTACATGCGTTTCAAAATGTATTAAACTATTTTCCCTCTCCTAATTCTTCCCTCCAATTTGGCATTTATAACGGGGTGTACATTTGCTTGACCCGAGAACGTGGTAAAAATAAGATGCTGCAATTATCAGGGAGCGGAGGGGCACACAATGCGTATCCTTCCCCGTAAAAGTGCGCAGTAAATGTGACAATGGCCCAGTTCACACTTGACATGGAGCTAAAAAGGAGGACAAACACAACCAGCTTTTTTTGTGTCGTCCAAACTGATCCACACACAGGAAAACAACCCAAGAAACTGGACGGAAAGATGTCAGGGGATGTCCACTTCGGTGGTCAAACTGACCACTGACGGAGGGTAAACCCAATATGAATGGTGTTCCGTGTCGCTGGAAAATAGACCCTCCGTACTCCAACCAACCCGTGCGAGAGCATCCATGCGTGAACATCTGTGCTGTTATTCCTCACAATAATGACCCACTAGGATGAAGTTTTAGTTCGCATTCCTCCATGTTTTTTTTTCCTTTGCACCAGTTTGTGGGACACCCAACATGTGCAGGTAATTCCTCCCAACAGCTTCGCAACTACTGTCGCTGCTGCTGCATCAAATGCAGAACGGGACAATAGTTGAGGGAGGGAAAGAACAGGGGGATGTCGAACTGGAGAAGGGGACGACCAGCTAGAGAACCTGATGGGGGAGGAAAATTCTGACAAAGGGGAACTCTGGGAAAACGTACAATATGAATTGCATAATGAAGACCGTACAACGCAAATGAAGCCTTTCACCCCTGTTGGTCAAATGTATGCAAAGGGGCCCTCTCCTCCTTTTTCTGTAGACTCACCATGAGAAGGAGGCTCAAGTGTAAAAGTGACACAATTTATATTCCATTTTGAGTAAACATGTGTAGAAACACCCGACTCGATTTGTTGGCCTTTTTTTTTTTTTGCAGTCACCACAATGTAAAGGGGGAAATATATTTAAAACGCTTGCTCAATAGACCCCTTCGCGCGCAACATTTGCCTTAGTTGCCATATGTACACGTCGCCGAACCTCCTGTGAGGAACTTTCTTTACACACAATTTCAAAATACCGACGTTCGCATGTAAATCCCAACTGAGAGGCCAATTCTCTTTTCCTTTTCCTCTCCGCCCTATAACGTTATTGAGCAGAAATTCACAACATCCAGGTTGATGTACCACGTTCGGGAATTTCAAATTTGCGCAAAAGAAAAAAAAAAAGAGTACATCACTAGGATCGCTAAAGTCAGGTAACCTGTAGCGCGTCGTCCATTTGGGAATTCCTCGTGTGTAACGGTTGGTACATTTAAAAAAAAAAAAAAAAAAAAAAAAAAAAAAAAATGACCAAAGAGGACAATCGAAACGTGAAGAAAGCATCTTCTTGTAAGCAGCCTGTGCGCACACGTCTACATGCCCAATTTGAAATTTCCAACCGCGGGGCAACAACACAGACCAGATTTATCGCTTGGTCTATTTTAACCATTCCTTTTATGAAATTCCCCCACCTCTGTGTGCCTCCTGTTCGTCACAAAAGTGTGCAATTGTGAATTAGCAAATGGAAAAAGAAAAAAGAATGAAAAAAAGTAAAAAAAGGAAAAAAAAAGCAAATACTTAAGCACTTATGTGTGTGCATATATTTAACTATAAGTCTGAATACAAATCGATAGCTAGACGGCCAGACGGGTCTCCCGGCAGGTGGACAGCAAAACAAACCACATAAGTCGGCACTCCCTTCGTGCTCCTCTTCCCCCTCCCATACACTCTACGCATATAAAGTAAACCCTAATCCATTACGTTTTAAATAATGCTGTTCTCTATCTCGTGCCTCTCACCTCTCGCCATCCTGTCCTTCTTATTTACAACCGTTTTGCAGTACTGCATCCTGTTTGCCTTTTTATTTTACCTCTTATATTTTTTTTCCCTCATCATGTTATGACATGGATTTAGCTACGCGGCTGCTTTCCGTTCGTGTAGCCCCTCTTTCCTCACTCGCTAGGGGCACTCGGCCACGCTGCAACTCTCACCACCTCGAGCGTCGTAAAGTAGACTTCATTATACGACACCTCCATATTTGCATATTTAGCAACCATAAAACGCCAACCCCATTATGCTACCCACAAGGTTGACTCTAGCATGATGCTACGGGGACTCTTCAAGCGTCCCTTTTTTCTCAATATTCTTTATGTAACTTTTTTTCTTCTTTTTTATAAAGGGGAAAACCCATTAGTGGCGATGAGTAGTAGTGAGCCTCCTCCCTCTCCTCTTTTTATTGCTCTTCACCAGGAGGAGGAAGAAATAACCTGGAGAGGCATCCCACTTTTCGCTTTAAAAGAAAGCCCTTCGTTTAAGACACCTCCTTTGCGCACTAAGTTGAGCCCCCCACAAACACGTAGACACATAAAATATTTTTGCATAGGCTACTCCGGGAATTACCTTCCATACAGCCACACGCCCACACACCCATACGGCCATACATCCATACAGCCACACACCCATAGTTACATTTTTGTTCTCCTTCGGTTCCTCCCTCCTTTTAGTGTCAATTCTTTGCACCGTTTGAATCACTTAGAAATATGGTGAACTCTCTCGAAGCAGCATGGTGTAGGCCCCCTCCTTTTTTTTTTTCTTTTTTTTTTTAATGCCCATGTGTCTTCCACTTTAGTCAGTTAATAACCTACTAAGCGGAAGTTAAACCACGCTGCTTTTTCGCAGCATAAGGTAAGCACTATTGGGCGAATGAACTTCTTTAATACGCCCTTTCATAACTTCCAAACTGCTTGCTGTTTATACGTGTGCACGCGCCACAGTACATGTAGACACAGGGGTAGGTTCCCCCGTTGACGAATAATAACTAGCCAATTAAGATAGTTTTAGAAGGATTCCCTGTCCTGTGGAAGTAAGAAATAGAAATTTTCCCAAATCGATACAAACAATAAACCTACGTACGAGCGCATCAAAGGAGTAACCCCTTCCCGAGATGCCCCCAATAGAACAACGATAAAGTAAAAATATACAATTTTGTAACTTTGAAGAAAAAAAAAAATGTCTGATGGTGCCTCTAACATAATTAGCATCCAAATAAATGACGGGAGCGAATCGGTGCCTCCAAATGAGCAAGACAGAGTAACGAAAACGAGCTCGATTGGCAAAATGGTGGAGCATGAGGACGACAAAGAAGAGACACCACAGTATGGACGATGCTACAGCGATGTTAGTGGCTATTTACCCCCCGAGTCGTTTTCTCGATTTGGGAGCATAAGCGGCACAAATGAGAACCTCTACTGGAGTGGCAAAAGTTACAACGATGTTGATGAGGCTACCGACGGGGGAGGCACTTCCCCAAATGCGACCTCTGCTGATGATACTTCTGCCGACGCTGCTTCTGCCGATACTGCTTCTTCCCATGGTACTTCTCCCGATGGCACTTCCGCTACAGCTGATCAAGCGGCCTACCCAAATGGCAATGACGCGAAGAATCGGCCCAACCAGCGTGGAAGCGAGAATTTAAAAACGCACAGCCTTGGCCTAGGACTCCGAAATAGCAATAAAAACAGCTCTCCCAAAAAGGAGATAAAAAACGTCATGGGGTATAACTACTTCACACTTAGACAGCAAATGATGAAAGCAGATGACTCGAAGATTTTAAAAAACCTCCCCCTTAGTATATTTGTGGGGACGTGGAACTGTGAATACTTTGACTTCTCCAGGGAGTGTCACAACGAAAAGAAAAGGTCCACATCTGACTACCTTAGCGAAAACTGCAATGAGAACGTGTATTCTTTAAAGGCAAACGATCGGTACTCGGTTAGATCAGTGACCCCTGTCTTGAGAGTTAAAGGGCTGGACAATTATAATAACATAGGAGGGTCCTCTACCGTCGAGACTTTTTCAACTGCTGATGACAGCAGTGCACATTACGCGTATGAGGGGATCTTCGATCGACAGATAAAAACTCCGCAGGAAGAGAGGAAAAGACATCAAAGCGACCTCCCCAGCCTACGAGTCATCCCATGCAACGATATCGAAGCGGGGAAAGTATCAACGAGTAGTCTCAACCAGTTAGACAATACACGGATCACACAGGGGGACGATTCCACGTATGACGTGGGTAATTGGCAACAGAGCGCAAATTTCTGTAAAGGTGGAAGGAGCAGCAGCGAGTGCAACGATAAGAAGCTGCGTAGATCACTCCAAGATGTAGGCATGACCAATGAGAGAATCAAATCGAAAAGTCAACCCACACAAGGAATCACCAATAGAAGCACATGGGTTAAAAGATTATCACACTACGACTTTCAAAAGGAAGGCTCTCAATCAAATGAGTGCAACACTTATTGCATATCTCACAACCGGAAGAAGGTAGTTAGCGAAACGCCAACGATGGGGGTCCCAAAGAGAGTCCAGGCAGGCGATCCGCCAACAGCACAGATGGATAAGTCAGGCAGATCACAGATAGATAAACCGAGACGAAGCCAAATAGAGAAGCTGAGAAGAGTGGATCTTAAAGACACGGAGAACAACAACTATAACCTTTTCCAACTAAGGGAAAATAGTTCCAATAGGAGGACATCTAAATCGAGAGAGAAACAAGTATTCTCTACTTGGATTCAACCCCACTACGACATCTACATCATATGTCTACAGGAGTCCATATCTGATAACATCATCGAGTGTTTATCTCACCATCTGAAGGAAATAAATCAAGAGACGTACAAAATTTTACCATTGACTGATTGCAAGCTCTCTGGATATGGGGACGGAGCGTTTCTTCAAATGAAATCCACCACGATGGCTGCCTGGGTGAGGACATCAAAGTTGTATCCAGATGGCCCCGTAAAATTATGCGCCTCCAAATCTATCGCCTTTAGCAAGATAAATAATAGCAAAGGGTGTGTATCAATCCTGTTTAACATTTTTAATCAATTCATTTTATTTATCGGTTGCCACATGCCAGCAAAGGATCAGGAGATAAGACAGAAATCTAGAGAATTCATTCTTACCAAACTAAGTGAACATTTCAGTAACAAAGTTACCTCCAACTTTAAAGACGTTTTTCATCATGTCATTTGGATGGGAGATTTCAACTTTAGGGTTCAAGGGATACGCCTAGATCGAGCGGTACATTGCTTACAGACGAACAATTTGAAGGAGCTCCTAAAATATGATGAGGGGAGCTCTCCCTACTCATATGATTTGTCCATAAGCTTTCAGGAGCTACCCATCTGCTTTCTCCCCACTTATAAGAAAAACGGAAATCGGCCCGTTATCAACCGGGATGATGCCAACTGGGTGCAGAAGGAATACAAGCTCGTCCACAACATCAAGTGGTACAAGGGGGGCCGGCAGGAGTCCCGCATCCCCTCGGTAAGGCTTGCGGCGAGGGCCAGATGGGGGCGAAGCGACTGCAGGCTCTGCCCTGTATTGTCCGCACGCTTACGCCTCTATCACAATCGGCACACTTGCGCTGTCCTCAAATCTTACATCTCACATGTCACTTGTCACTTCTAACCCGCCCCACCCTGCAGTGGACAGACCGCATCTTCAAATGGTCGTGTCATAAAACCAGAAGCTGCCTCATCTTCGTGCCCAACTCCTACCTGTCGCCACTACCGAAGGAGCAAAGTAATGGCCCAATTGGCGGCGCATATGTCTGCCGTCATCGTTTCCATTAAGACTAGACTTTAGTCTATATAATTGCCACCGCGCTGCTTAACCCCCCTTTTTTCAATTTCTCTTCTCTGAAGGCATCCTCATGGCCAGCGACCACAGTCCCGTGTCTTGCTGCTTCCAAATGTACATGATGAAGAACGAAAGGGAAATCCCTTTGACGAAGGTTACACTTGCCAAGTCGATCGAGGGTTCTCTCGCCGAGTATTCATAAAGGGAGAGCTGGGGGATAACACATACGCTAGGCAGTGTGGCGATGGGAAGTCTTGCCATGTGCCTCTGGAGGTTTTACCGCCCATCTGCTTCTCCCCCTTTTATGCATCCCCGCGGGATTAATCTAAGTGTGTGTCGGGGGGGGGACGTCCCTGCATGTAGCAGTTCCCATACTGTCATACGTTCGAACCCCCCAAAAGGGGAACATCTATTTGAGAGAGCGCCACTTCCGGGGAGGATAACCCGCCTCGTCAGATCCTTTAAGCCAACTGAGAACTGGTATCCTCCGTGAGGTCACTTCTCCAAATGAGCAGACACGAATTCGTTGCTTCCATGTTCGCGAGAATTAGCAGCGCGAGGGGGGAAAAGGAAAGACATATAAGAATAAAATGCGACGTGAAAAAACGAAAAGAGATGTTTCGTTTTCCCCTGCTACTCTCTCCCTTCTTTTTACGACACAAATTTAACGAAAAATCAAAACTGTTAAAGTGGCGCGTCACACGCCGGGGAATTTAAAAAAAAAAATAAAAACCCACGTGTATCTACAGTGTACCTACACACGTATGTACACACATATATACGTATACGCCACTCACCCACACGAATTCACAAAGGGGTGATTTTCCAAATGAAGCGAAACAGGCGCAACTAAAATTTTAAAGCGGGGAATGGGCGCGCGTAGCAGATGTTGGACCCCCCCGACACGCATCGCCAAAAACTCAAAATACTCGGTCTTGGGTATTCAACAGCGTTATGTATATCGTCTCCGGGGAACAGAAAAAAAAGAGGTGCATGCAGGTTTGGCTGCACATCTCCTGAGAGGGCTTATCAAAATGGATAAAGCTGCAGTACTCTCCCCAGAAGGACACAACGTAGCACAGCTTGGGTCTTTCTCTGGCTTTCCTGTTAACCAATTGGCCAATCAGGAAGTTGCATGTATCACGAATGCAGGAGCTGCTAATTATGCCATTCGTAAGAATTATTTTTTGTACTTGGTAAAAATTTTTTTCCTTTTTAATAAACATATGTGCGTTTTCTTCGTGATTTATTTTTACATCCAGGAGAATTCTCCCTATGTACTCCACTAGGTAGTTTGCAACTGCGTCCTGCCTGCTCTTTGTATGGGAAGCAGCTTCGTGGGGGTCCCCACTTGGGGCCCCCCTTGCAATTCCGTTTGGAATACCTCCCATTTCGTCCTCCTTCGAGACACAGCTCATGAAGTTATACAGACACTCCCTCTGTAGTACCCTCTCGTTAACCCTATAATAGTGGTTCCTATGACTTTTTAAAAAATCCAGCACTTTGTCGATCTTTCGCAGTTTCGCCTCTTCCACAGCGGCGTCGTCATTTTTTCCGGAGCTACTTTCCATTCGCTGCTTCTCAATAGGCGTTTTTTTTGGCTTCTTTTCGATTTCGCTTTGGATGGAATTTCTCGTGCCCCCCTCCGGAGTGTCCTCTCCGCCGTTGGCAACTTTCCCCTTCTTCAGGTGATCCCCCTTTAAGTAATTTTTGAATATCCTCGCATCTGTAGAGATGTTTAATGTGCTTCCACCGGTCTGCCTTTTTGGCGCTGCACCATTTGATGCACCATTGGCTGCCCCGCAGTTTATGCCAAGGATGCCTGATAAACTCACATCACAGCTGCTTCCCGAGTCATAGTTAATGTAAAATGTTTTATCATCAAGGGAGTATCTTTTTTTCTTCTTGTTGGCTTTACTTCTCGCTAGTAGGTCGTGCAAATCCACCACGTTGTTCGGGTTGCGGCGCACACTATGGTGAACGTCATTCTGCTGGGCGTCATGCCTATTGTTCCCTTGGAGGGTGACTTCCCCATCCCGGGTGAGGCCGGAAAGGAACTCCCTTTCTATGTAGTCTACATCGAGTTCATACACAGGGTGCACCTCCCGGATCCTCTCTCTCGTCTGTATATCCAAGTAATTGAATTGGTTTGTCATTCCTAGGGGGTTCTTCCCCCCGCTTTGTCGACCTTCATTGTTTCGACCGTCATTATCTCGACACTCACTGCTTCGATGCTCACTCTCTGTGACATGCTTGGGACTCACCACCACGTCGAGACCACCGTCCCCCCCCCCGTACATATTGTACATATTTATCAAACTGTTCACATGTGCCCCCTTCTTGTTTACAGACGAGTTAGAAAAAATGCTGTTGTAAATATCTGCTACGCTGTTCATATTAAACGCATGAGATAAGTTGTCCCCTTCGTCGTTGCGGATGTTATGATGCGGGTCAACAGAGACCCAGTGGATGGAAGGTGGACCATCGCCCTTTCCTATTTTGGAAGCTGGGTTCCTCCCATTCGCATCGTAAAAGCATTCATGCCATTTAACGGGGATTGCATAAACTTTGGCATCCTTGGATCCGTTAAGGGTTAATATATTTTTTAATTTTTTACGAAATTTCTCGTGGTCCGTTCCATGGTTGTATAACCCGATCAAGTCGACAGGGTATGTGTACATGTCTGTAAAATATTGGCGATATTTTTCCCTCAATTTGGGGTCTCCACTGGGGGATTCCGCTCCAGGAAAAGGCCCGTCCGTCGCATCATGCCTGTTAGGAGTTGTCCAATTTCCTGCCTTGGAATTGCCGCCTTCCCCACTGTTAGCCCCTCCTGCTTGCGCCTTTCCCCCGCTACAGATGTCCAGTAGTACCACATTGCTCACTTTGAACCTATCCTTGAGCACATTCCTATGCGAAGTCAACCTCAGCTTGGTCAAATAGTTAACGCACAGGTAGACGGAGCTGCCACTCATGTATATTTTATTGTCATATTTGCAGTTAAGGGAGATGACCCTTGGCTGGTGCTCCCTAAGAATATTATTGGCGTACTCACTTGAAAAAAAACTTGATAAAAAAACATTCCTTAAAAAGAAACACATTTTATTTCTCCACATACTTTGGTGCAGGTACTCACAGTTTATAACTTCCTCTGCATCATCTGCAAAATTGGTCACTACGACTTGAGTGTTTATAACGTGGCTGTTTAGCAGCCTTTCCAACTTATTAAGCCGTTTTTTTTTGCTTAAAAAGTGGAGATAATCTATATGCCGTCCATTTTCCGTAGTAGCTTTTCTGAGATCTGTTATGTGCACCTTTTCCACGCTGGTGTAAATGAGGCCGTTGTTGTGGATCCCCTTTTCATTGCCATTGAAATACATTTTGGCTTCCCTCAACAGGTAAGTATTTCTTCCTCTCCGGGGTTTTCCTAACGGGAAGATAAAGGTCTATGCGGCTACAATAAACTGCGCATCGGGCTGTCTCAACACAGTTGCGTTTTTTCCTTCGCGTTTGCTTGACCATAGAGGGGATACATACATTCCGAGTGGGTGGAAGCTGTAAAAAAAAAAGGCTTATCACATGGGACTTAAAAATGTTGAATACGCGCAGGGGGGTGTAGGGGAGATTTGGTTCGCCCCCTTTTGCGGCATCTTTTAACAACCAAATTGGAGCTCCTCCTGCATTTTCGGATCTTCCTTTGTTGGGCGTTTATCTGTGCGTTTGAAATATGCAATGGTTAGACTGTTCGTTGTTTTTTTTTTCACCCTGTTTGTCATTTTTTTTTTTTTGCCCTGTTTGTTGTTTTTTTGTGCGCCCTATATGTCGTTTTTTCTTGCTATTTCTGCTTTTTTTTTTTCAAAATGCGACGCCACCCAAACGCCCGCAACGCATGCATTCGACCGCGCTCACCCGGTGTACGATCCGGATGTATGCAGCGCTTCACCGAGTTGCGGTGATTGCGCGCGAGTGTAAATAATCAGGAGAAGGAAAACTCACAAAGAAGCTTATGTATGTACATATGCGTATGTATACTTTATTTGCATATCCACCGTGCGCGCACCGGCGTGAAGACCCTGCTCGTTCTTCTTTTCCGCGTTACCGAATTTGCCGCCCGTTTAATTTTCCCCAACCAGGTTTAAAACCCCCTTCTGTCACGTCTCTCTCTGCCCACCACACCATGTGTTCGCAAGACTTTGACACACATGGAATAGCAGCACCCAGCACTTTCAATGTGCCGCTTTTTTTCTCACTCTCCTGCTCTTCTCTCCTTCATATATAAATTGAACGGGGCTCTATTCCCCCACATTTTCCACCTCCCAAGCAAAAACCTGAAATGAATGTAAAAACATCAGAAGATGTTTACAATTTTGCTAAAGACTGTTTAAAAATAAAAGAAGAAATAGATAATAGCACGAAGAAGATCCCCAAGAAGGAAAAAAAAAAGAACACATGTCAATGGAGGAACAATTCATCCAAGTACAACTCTGATTATTCAAAGTTTGAAAGCTGCCTTAAAGAAATCGAGGAAAATGAGGAACTCGAGGAGAAGGAGGATCACGAGCAGCAGCAGGAGCAGAGGAAGAAAAGCAAGGCACAGGAAAACAAACAGCACTTCCTAAGTAGTAGGAACCCATGTACCCATGACCATTCCAAGGAAAGACAGCTATATGAGAAAGAATCAAAAGAAAAAATAAAAGCTTCGAACGCTTTTAATGAAGAGGGGAAGAAAGCGTTTTACGAAAAAAATTACAAACTCGCTTGCGTTTACTTTCGAAAGGGGCTAATACAGTTGGATTATTCCTTCCCCGACTCAGAGCAAGAACAGGCTGAACAGAGCAGACTCGAAATTAACTTACATTTGAACCTTGCCACAACGAAGTTTCACATGTCCAACTATCACGAGTGCATCAGTGAATGCTCCACGGTACGTGCAGAGTGTGCCTTGGATCGTTTATGAAGCGTCTATGAAGCTATTTTGGAGCGTTTGTGGAGAGTTTTCCTTCTTTGAATCCCATTTCGTTGCGTGGTTCTTCTCGCACGCCACTTCCTACATTTGTCGTCTTCTCCTTATTCCTCCCACCGCGCAGGTTCTCAACCTAGACAAGAACAACGCCAAGGCGCACTACCGAAAGGGGCATGCCTACATGAGCCTGGATATGTATAGTGAAGCGAAGGAGGAATTCTTAAAGGCGCTCGAAATGAACCCCACAGACAATGACGTGAAAAAGTCGATACTGACTCTGAAGAGCAAAATTGTCAGTTATACCAAGAGGGAGAAATTACTGTGCTCTAAGTTTTTTCCTTCCAGTGAAAAAGAAAACGAAAAAGAAGACGAAAACTTAGCGATGGGGAAAAAGGGACCCAACAATACCTACGCAACGGATCAACCAAATCGTGATGGTGACAACATAGAACAATCCGACGCCGCTAAGAGTATACCTATAATGACCTCACAGAATTATCGCACGAAAGACGTTGAAAAGAAAAGCGTCACTACCAGCAACATGACACTAAATTTGGGGGAAAAAGACCCTTGCGGCTGTTCCCACAAAAGGAAGGAATACTTCCCAACTTTTACATCGAACGGGTCGAATTTTTTTAAAAACTTTTCTCCAATTTTCTTATTAAACAACATATTTTTGTACCTCCTGGTTTGTTTTTTTGTTTTATTTTTTTTACTACTCCTTTTTATGTTTATCTTTACTTCGTGTAAATTTTTTTCCACTTTTCTCTTCACTACTTTGTCAATTGTAGCCCTCACGTATTACGGATTTGTGTATGTTCCCAAAACAACAAAGAATTAACGCCTTTTTTTTTTTTCTTCTTTTTGCGCAAGTGGTTTCTCTCCTGACTGGTTAGGAGTGGGACTCCTCAGAAGTTCCCTTTTTGGAAGGCCCCACCGTTGATCTACCAAGGTATGCGAAACGATTGGGAAATGTGTAGCCACGTGAACACGTTTGTGAAGATGTCTGCGTGTTGTTTCTTCCGTTTCGATGGGCCATATTTCACTGCGATGGAAAAATCACGCGTCCGATCCATCACACGTTACATGTTCAGTATATACCTGGTTGGGCGGAAAATGCCCGTTCCTCCACAATTTGGAGTGAAAAAAATGGGGAAAGGAACACATAACTGTATTGCAGAGGCAGAGGTGCGCATACCATCAGGCTTTTTGCCTCTTCGCACTACTTTGAGGGGAAACCATTCCATATGATGAAACTTTTATGAAGGCTATCTTGGATATCTATCATGATTTAAAAAATAAAAAAAAAAATTCCTATGTGCTCCCATTTCACACGCATCGATGACGCGTAGGAATATGCCAATTTAGCTCTCCATTCCGAAACAGCAAAGTGCCAATTCGCACTTGAACAATCCGTGCTTGCCAAAATGTGCCACTATGAAACACACGCAATTGAAACGGAAAGAGGGTTAATAAACGTGTACTTTGAGAAGCAAAGCAAATTGTATTGCTTGCTTCACACTGCGAACAATATTTTACAGGCACATGTATATTCCCCCGACGATTTTAAAGACGCTGAAAGTATACTGGATAATGGCTTTGTGGGGATCGGCACGTTAAGCAATGACGAGGGAGATGTTGACCCGAGGGGCCACACTGATCAGAATAGCAAAAATTGTTACACCCCCGACGGAGATGGTAACCGTGGCAGTAGGGAGCTCGCCGATTTAAGAGCGAAGGAAGGATTAAAGTGCAATAACGTCCTCGCGTACATTAAGAGAGGCTTCCACTACTTTGGAAATTTTAACATAAGCATCTTGTACTTCTTCATGAACAAGCACAACATTGAGCTCCACTGGGTTGACAACAAGGAGATATTTCGCAAAATAAATAACAACAAAGGCAGTGGCTGTCCTACACTGTTCGATACCAACCAGTTAAATGACAAAAATTTAATCGCATTCGTGGTGAACATCGTTCGGGTGAATCTTTTCGATTTCTACCAGCACCGGCATTTTTACACGATAAGGAAAATTTCAGGTGTCTCTTTATTTCGGAACTGAAAGAGCGCCCTATGCGATGTGACACGTTACGTGCAAATGCGTATCCACATGAATACACGCATATGTGTGCCTCTCGGATGAATGCGAACTTTTGGCACAGTTACATTTCGGCCGTCTCCTCCACCCATCTTTCCCCACGACAGGGATGTGGTTCCAGCTGGATTCCTCGCTGAGTAAACCCGTATTATTACCCACAAATGAAGACGTACGTAATGGAAGGGAGCGAACTGGCATGTCGACAAATGCCTCCACTCATCGGAGTTATGCATGCGCGTGCTGGATACTATCGAAATGATTGCGAGATTAATGATTCATAGCCCTATATGCAGCTTGCACTGTGACAATCTTTCAACGCCTTCCCTTCTTTTTACAATTAAATTTATGCACATGAAGGGATCACAACAACCGTGTTTATGCACATGAAGGGATCACAACAACCGTGTTTATGCACATGAAGGGATCACAACAACTGTGTTTATGCACACAAATGGGGCAGCCGTTTAGAGAAAAGGCAGGGATACGCATAAGCTCCCTTTTGTCTTATTCTATTCAAAATTGAAGTGACTTTATTTGTTAGCTACTCATCTTCGCACCGGATTATATGTTATATTGCTTACGCCCCTTCATATGTGCACAACCTTGTTTGAGTCCCTTGGCGCTTTTCTTCAACTCGCCATTTGTGCCTGTTTACACTGTCACGCTTTTTTCCAGCGACTACGAAAATAATGTCTGTGGATACCCCCGTATATGAAACTATCGCCCCACACCTGTACATATGTATCCATTTGATCTTTTCCACTTCCCCCCCTTTTTTTTTCTTCTTTTCAGATAAACAATCACTTAATGAGCATAGTAGAGGATAACAAATTTCACAAATCTGATAATTACATCATACAAGTTTTTAAGAGGGAGAAGAATCATCCCAAATGA